TAAAGTCATAAGTTTTATTTAACAAATAAAAAATAGGAGTTGATCGTACAGGGGTGAAAATTAAGGCAAATGTATTTTTTAATGCAACATAATAAAAAAAATATTTACCCAAAAAAATGTTTTTTGGGTTGGACACCCTTTATCACTTAGGGGTTTGAAAGATAGATAGTAGCCGATTCTCAGACTTACTGAACATGAATAAAAAGCTTCATAAGAATCGGTCGAGCCGTTTCGGAGGATGGGAACGACATTGTTGAAAAATCTAAAGCAGTAAGGTAGGGCATGTATCTGTATAAACATTTTCATATCTTTAAAAGCCTATGTACGAGTATTTATGTCAAATTTCTACAAGGAAAGCTCGTTGGCTAGGAATCGATCGATAACTTAAAAAAATATTACACTGCAGCCGTCCTAATAGAATCAAAATGTGTTATTATCGACCGGCTTACAAACCAAGTAGTAATATATATTATTGTTACCAATGAGCCACTGTTAAAAAAACAGTGAGATTGTGACGCGTCGCTCCTGTCGTCCTTAGGGAAATTAAGATGTACCAACAAAAATGCTTTATTGACACTCTAACCGTTATATTTACATATTTTCAGGTACAAAGTACGTTACTCTTTTCAAGTACAATGTGTTGTGGTTGTGATGACGAAATTATAAAGATTCCTTAAATTTAGATAATTTTAGTTTATTAAAATAAAAACGAAACTATTAATTAGAAGACATTATTTAAAACGAAAGCGTGGGTCGTATTGTTTGTACCTATTATTTTTTGGATGCGCCGTTAAAACTCGGATAGAAAAAAATACGTGTGGCACTCGGGGACTGCCGCGGTAAAGCTATTGCATACCATTTTTTATAAACTTATGCAATATAATTATTTATTGGTTTTTTTGCAGTATTTTTTTCTTTGATATCAATTCAATCTAGCACTCTACCAGACTCAGAAGAACACGCCTATCCGATCACGCTAAACCGATGTGAGACGCAGTATGCGTTCTGTCCCGCTTTCGCGTATTGGCCGCATTTACGAGTATATACGTCATCGTGTGTTAGGTTTATTTCGTTACGGAATTTCTTGATTCGGTCGCCGCGCTCAAAGCCCGCGATAAAATCTATGCAATAGCTTAAAAAAAAATAATCTGGGTAACTAAGCTTTTACGATTACAGATATGCTAAGTGTATTACTAGAGTTTCAGTACTGTGAAACTGTACTTAAATCAACTCCCAAAAGGGAATTTAATTTAACCTTAACATTTCAAAATGTGTCTTAGCCAACGAGCATCTTCCAATGCCACTTCCCGGATTTTGCTGGCTTTCAGCAAATGTTGACTTATTAAAATCAAATTTGCGTGTGTTTTGTTCGTTTATAATTAAACTTTTTTGTAAGCTTTATAATTATTTTAATGCCAAATAGACTTTTTTGAATATATTACTCCAAAATTCACGAAAAAGTACTTATTACTATTACTAATTATATTACTAGTAAAACATTATGCTTCAGAATGGTCAATAAATCAGATTTTGCGTAAACTGTAGTAGTAGTTATAAGACAATGATTTTTGGCATATCATTATTTCGTACCTCGGTCGCTTATGTCTTTTCATTAGCCAAGATAATTATTGATTTAAACTTTATTCATTACAGGTACTCTAATTAAAGATTTAAAAGAATGCTCTTTCAAAAGATTGCGTTTCAATTAAGTTGAAGTTTCTCGTGGTGTAAAGATAAAATGTCGACTTAGCTTGGAAAGCTTTAAAACTTAATTGAGACCGTCTAACTCATTGGGCCAAGTTTTCTCTTCATTAGTTCTGTTTTCATTCATTACTCTTTAAATAAAGAGCCATATAGCGTATAAAACGTATATTATTTTATTTTAAAGACGTTTAATTTTGTACTATATTATATATTTTAGCGAAATTTGACAAAATTGATTTACAAGATTTATTTCATTAAGAAAATTTACAAAGGTGTTTCCAGATCGAGTGTGTATGAGGTTCGTGAAATAAATTGTTGATTTATCGTCTTTGGCTTAGGCGAATGTGAGAACATCGTTTTTTGTTAAAATGCTTTAGTAAAATAACAGTTTTTTTAATTCGACTGAACGTTTCAAACCATTTTTTTTTGAATATGGAATGATCATAGAGACGAAATTTCACAAAACGTGAAAATAACTCTGTTTATATCTACCTTGCGATTCTGTAACTCACACAGCGGTTTTCGCATCGGCGGTCGCTCTCAAATCAGTCGTAAGCAGTCATTTTATGATTTGGCATTCTGTTTAAATTTTGTAAATGAGTATGGTCAGTAGATGAAGCACAGTATTTTTATGCCTGAATATATGATGAAACTGAAAACGCCACCCTTTTGTAACGACACCTACAATATGCGGAATCGCGCTAACAAGGTTGTTCCGACCGCTAAGAATATATAGACCTTAGCCACTGAGACTTTGGGCCGGCCAGTCAGTGGTAAGACTGCATTGTACGTTCCATCCTCCCTTTAGGTTGGAATGCATAGGGAATGCACAAAGCCCTTCCTCCACGCCTTGTTAATTAAAATATATATTTTTATTTTATTTTATAAAACCTTTATTGCTGACATCAAGTATAATATATTAACACTTTAAGTTACATAAAAAACTTAATTCTGATACATAAATGAAACTTAATCTAATATTGACCTTGACCATGAACTGTGACACGTAGGCCTCTTCCAGCTGCTTCCATTCTTTTCTGACGTTAGCTCTTCTTGTCCAAGTTGTGCCACCTATTCTCATTATATCGTCTGCCCATCTCTTGCTCTGTCTTCCTCTTTTCCTTTTTCCATCGCGTGGTTGCCATTCTGTAATTATCTTTGTCCATTTCAACCCTATCTCTCATCATGTCAAAAAAATATATATAATATACCACATAATGCACTTAGATTACCTTTGTCAAACGTTACGTATACTTTCGAAATAGTCCACGACTTTAAATAAAAATAACTAGAACTGTCACTAAAAATCGTCGAACGTATTCCTTGGCATATCTTGGGACATCTGTACGTTTCCAATTCGTAATAAAAGTAGATAGACATCATAAATTCAAAGGGAGATATCTCAATACCGCACAAGACCAAGGTCCTCTCAACCGATCAAATTGTGATCAGAAATTCGTGAGCTGAATTTTTACGAAGCCTTTGAAAAGGGAATGTTAAACAGGAAATCTGTATACTTTTAGTATTAGATATTTTTAGGTTTATACTTAAAACCTACTTTATGTGAAATTACTGTAATTTGACTCTAATAAATGTATTTATTTAACGCATTTCGGTTATGTATCTGTATAAATAACTAAACATGAGTACATATTACAATACATATTCAATGTGAATTTTTTGGGTAAAAGGAATTTATTAGTTGTCATATATCTGAAGTATTTATGATACCATTGAAACGAAAACAACTCTATAAAAATGATAGCTATATAGGCTATGAATAATTACATAAAGGTATAAGCCTTAATTTGTGAATAAAAATTGTTTCTTATTTATTTATCTTTAAATGCTGTGTGAGTAAGGACTAAACATAATGACAAAGTAATTTAATTATTATTATTTTATTTAGGTTTAATTTACTATAATTCCACTTTGTCTATCATTTCATTTCACAGTCTTTCTTTCTATTGGATTAGCCCCACTCGTACCTATTAGGAATGATATTTATACCAACCCGTAGGGACCCGGATGTATTATTTTGTGACCCCGCGTGAGATTAGTTTTTATTTGTTAGAATTAGAGTACTTGACGATGACGAACTTTAATACAAACTTTCCTGCTTTTCCCCATGTCAACGCTATCCCTATACCAAATGTTTAAATATAGAATGATAACAGACAATAGAGTAACGCATTATTTATTGTTTTTGAACAAGACAAATTTAGTAATAGTAGTATAAAAATAAAGAGGTTTATTCTTAAAATAAAATTTGCCCGCTGTCTGGTGTTCTCATATTAGTGTGACACAACAGGAACGAAGTGCATTTTGCGGAGGTCATAATTTGTGGCTGACGTGACAAACCGCTGGGCTTCTTGCGCGAGGCGCCCATATATTCACCTGAACATTGATGCTCTCCTGCGCTTCTGTAACTCACTTTTCGAACTCACACAGCGGTTTTCGGATCGCCGGTCGCACTCAAATCAGTCGAAAGCCCAGTCATTTTATGATTTGGCATTCTGAAAAGGGGGAAGCTGTAGTTTATTGTTTATTAGAATGCCAAATCATAAAATGACTGCTTCAGACTGATTTCAGAGCGATCGCCGAGCGAAAACCGCCTGAGTGAGTTCGAAAAGTGAGTACAGAACGCAGGCTCTGCTGCATTTCACGCTTTTTCGTCGTTAGCATTTTCTAACTGGAGTATGATGAATTCACCTGGAAAATTAACTTTTGGATATGTTGTTACACTTTGTGATTGCTTTAAAGAATTTTTATCCTAAAGTTTATAAAGTATAGTATTTTCTATACTTATTTTGTTACAATGACAGTGTAACACTTAAAAGTAATTTTAGTTCAAAGTTTTGATCTCTCTTAGCGCTTGGATTTGAGCTAATCTAATTAATGCTAATTTGCGTAATTTTTTCTTAGAGATGAAAGCATTCAAAAACGGCTGATACTCCTGTGTACAAACAACACATTATAGGAATTTTAATTTTGCTATAGATTGATGTACATGGTGACTTGGAGTGTAGTATGTAGTGTATATGTTAATACGACTATTACATAGACGCTTATTTAACTTGCCAAGATATGCAATTATTATACAATAATTCGGTTGATTTTAATTAAAAAATAGATAGGAAATAATTAAATGTACAGTAAAAATAACCAGATCACTAAGTGCTCAATCACAAAAGATTAGATATGATTAAAGATAACAGCAATCAATATCAACATTAATGGCCAGTTTTAGTTTTCCCTTCGTATAATGATAGTGCGTTAGTTGTTAAAATAACAAAATGGAAATTGACAAAGATGGAAAGAAGGAAAATTCAATACGGAGTAGACATATTTCAAAATTACACGAGAGAGTGCAAACGAAGTATTGTGAAATGCAGAAGAAGTTAGAAAAAGCAAAGTCTGCAGATCTTTTAGCATGTGTTAAAGATGACCATAACACAAAACTAGCCCCACTAAATGCAAATTTATTGCAAGAGGATAAAAGTCATAATTTTATGGCAACGCAGAAGACTGTTAAATTAGATGATGCTAGAGGTAATGATTCTACTTCCCGTGAAATTGTATATGAGGAGGCTACTATTAGCGGAAGAAATATTGTACCCATAGTAAATTTGACAATAAACGATGACAATAATATACAAAACAGTGAAAACGCTTTTCTCTTTGACATGTCATTTAAGGGAAGTCTTGAATCGTAAGTTTTTAACATCTTCAAGAATCTATTAACCCTTTATATATCTTATAGATTTAAGTTTCTCGTATGTATAAGTCCACTACAAAGTCAAAGTCAAATCATTTATTTCAATTAGACCACCTAAAATGGCACTTTTGAAAGTAAAACAAAATACAAAGAAGATTCTAGTTGCCCCTTCCAAAAGTAGTAGTTTCGTGTGGAGAAGTATGGGCAAGAAACTCCACACTTCCTCTTTTAAAATAGGTTTACAATATTTTGTTTACATGAGTTAAATAATTATATGTGAAGACAATGTACTCTTAGAATAAAACTACTATACTAAAAAAGTTAGTATACATGTTCCTCACATATTTACAAATATCGAAACCGTAGAGTACTATACATTAAAGAGTAATAAAAATAATATAAAAAAACACAATAAAACAGTGTGTGAGACCTAAGATCAAGCCATTAATTCATTAGAAATTAAGAGTATTTAATATATTTTTGCTACGCTCGCATTTTGCTGTTATGTTCTCACATACAGGCGAGCTTTTATTCACTTTATATTATATAAGACTTTAAATTTAATATTTAATTATAATGTTATAATTGAACGATAAAAATTGTTTAAGTTTTTTTATATTTACATGACTTATTTAGTTTCCTTGTACTGTGTAACTAAACACAAATTATATTGGTAAAAGGTAACTTTATTGAGTAATTATTTAATAACAAATCTGTTAGTTATTATATCATTAAAATTGTTATTAAAGGATTCGCTCTTATCAAACAGCTGTAGTCATACACATACAAAAATAAATCTGTTATTTCCAATGTTTTTCAGACTAGCCGAAGTTAAAGATGACGCCTTAAGCGATGACTCAATAGAACCCTCGTCCCCTGCACCAAAATCAATCCGAAGTCGTATTCGCTTAAGAATAAGAGAAGCTAGAAAGCGACGAGAGGAAAAAGAGAAGAACGATAAAAACAAAAGAAGAAATTCGTACAGTAATGTTGAAAAGGTACACTCTGCACCACATTTAAATATGTTCTTAATAAATTATGACAATCGATTCACGACGAGAAATATAAATATTTTAAATAAAGAAAACGATAAGTGTTACTCGTAATGTCACAGCGTATAGAACGAAGCACAGACTATAAAAAAATAACTATGAGGATGAAATTTAGAAGGCGGAAAATTTAAACTTATTATTATTAAAAATTTTTTTTTTTTTTTAAAGACCATTCACACCAATTGACCTAGTCCCATGGTAAACTGGTGAAGCTTGTGTTATGGGTACTAGGCAACGGATATATATACATATTATAGATAGATAGACATATAAATACATATTTAAACACCCAAGACCTAAGCACAACACCAAATGCTCATCACATCGATGTTCGTCTCAGCCGGGGATCGAACCCGGAACCCATGGATTCGCAGTCAGGGGTACTAACCACTAGACCAATGAGTCGTCAATATTTATAGGAATGCTAATTAAAGCAGACTCTTTAAATTGTCAGTCTTCAAACACACTTTGTTGTCCAATATATTATATTACTAGGCCAGCGCAATTAAGAATCTTATTAAATCGATGAAAGAGATGGTAGTTTACAATTATGCTAAAGGAAATTTTGTTACTGCACTCGTATTATTATTATTTTATAATGTCTAATACAAATATATCAAACTCAAACTCAAAATATCTTTATTCATGTAGGTAAACAAGTACACTTATGAACGTCAAAAAAAAAGTTAAATTAATTATAAATTTACACTTACTACCAGTTCGCAAGTCAGGGAGCGGGCAGGAAGAACTGGCAAGAATCTTTCCGCCACTCTTTTTAATCGCTCAGTTTTGAGTCATACAATTTGATTGAACTGGAGTTAACTATCCGGTAACTGGTATATGATCCTAACTTGCAAAAATAATATAAAATTTAAATTAATATGATAATTCAGATTAAATACCAGTACGGTTACATGTGTAGCCATCAAAAGAAAACTGCGTTTTGTAAAATAACTAATACAAAGCAATAAACGCCAAAATACAATCTTGCTAATAGACCTTCTCAACGTTCTCGTTTCTTTTTTATTTGGTAAAAACAATTTATTGGGTTATACTTGATAAGCAGATAAATAGTTCTGATAATGTTTCAGCTGATTTTATCGAATACAACAAAGAAAGACGTCACAACAAGGGTTACTAAGAAGACTAAAATTGCGACTGTCACCGTTGCTCTAATAGAAGTTGCAGGGTTTAACGTACTTGAGGTAGAAAAGCCTCGATACATTGGCTGTCGTATTAGGTCAGTAATGTTGGGGTAGACGCAATTATTATAGTATAACATTTATCGGGCAGATGATTTAGTCATATAATAACTTCCAAGTCTAATTATTTTTTTTAAAGTCGAACAAAGGAGCCCGGGTAAATATTTTGACTAAACAAAAGAAAGCGTAACACGAAAGGTGTCTATGCATCTTCCATGTTACGAGTATATGCATAATACTATTATAGATAATAAATAAAATATTAATTTTCATTCCTATTCAATTATTCTCTTTAATTATTTACTTAATAAAGGCATAAACACCATAATGCAACATAATACGTTAGCAAATTAGTACCTAAATTGTTTGTTGCACAAATTAACTAAACTCATCAAAATGGGCAGAATAATTTGATGATGTCGTTACTAATCAGTTACTTCCTTATAGAAAATTGAAGGTACGCCTCTGAACTCAATTTCACTAAGAGTTGGATCAGCCTAGAATAGACATTCTAGAGGACCAAACGATACAATAATTAACAGTTGTAGTATAAAAACTCAACACTGGCTGAATTTGCAATTTGCGTGTCCATCATGCAAAATGATTAAGAGTCCCCGCAAACTACAATTTTTTTATCTGCCGATATTTTGATCGCATGAGGGTTTATGCGCGTACACTGGCCCAACTAGACTATCGGATTGGTTGTGGACGCGCACACCAGACAAACAATAGGCTGACCGCTCCAAAAAATGTTCTAATTACGTTACTAACTAAAACTTACTTACTTAAACGTTCTAATTACGTTACTAACTAAAACTTACTTACTTAAACGTTCTAATTACGTTACTAACTAAAACTTACTTACTTAAACAGTATTTCTACTATGTACTACGTAGATATGTATGTTTAAGAATAGAAGGATCAAGAAGAAGAAATCCATTGGTAGATTACCCGAAAGTTTTGTTTGCAGTTTGCAAAAATCAGCCAATATTTCTTTAAATTTCAGATTGGGATCAGAAAAACGTAAATCGAAAATGATTAAAACGAACGACCCAAAAGTCATGTTTCAAGAATTACATAATTTTAATTTATATGAGGATGAACATATATTAGAAATCGTTGTTTGGGACAAGGACGTTAAAGTAGGAAGGTAAAAATTCAAGAAAATTAATTTTGTGATCGCTTGTTTGCTTGCTGTGTGTAGATCGGATGAGAGCTCTCAGCCACTCTTATTAAAGTGATATTGTAAATACGTTGGTCTCTGTTCAACCTATCGTGTTTTTTTTTGATAGAACAGGGGGCAAACGGGCAGGAGACTCATCTGATGGTAAGTGATTCCGCCGCCCATGGTCACTCTCAAAGTCAGAGGGCTCGCGAGTTGCCGGCCTGTTAAGAATTGGTAATATTAATATGGTATAATCTGGTTTTTAATGTTTTAATACATCCATGATTGCGACCTTTTACCACGTCGAGTGTGATTATTTGGCGCGCAGCCCCAGTCTCTCCAACATTTCCGCATACATTCCATACCTCTAAGGACCTTAAAAAAATATAGTGTGATAGCAATGTCCCATGCCTCTAACTTGTTCTATCCTTCCATCTCCTATGTATGTTACTTTTCAGACACACAATAGATCTGTCTAGAATAGAAAAAGAAAAAACTAAAAAAGTGCAAGTACCCTTAGATGACTCGGAAATTCGAATATTTTATTTACTAACAATCAGTGGAATTTCGGATATTAATACTTTGTACAATATGTATGAAAATGAAGGAGGAGAGGCTAAAAATTTGAGAAGAAAGTATGTAAGTTTATTTTAACAACATAAATATAATCGATATATAACTTACACACATATATTAGTATTTAAGTAATAAAGGATTCCCTCTTATCAAATGTCACAATAGATTAAAATTGTTGAGTCATGTAAGTGAATCGGACTGATTGTTTATTTTCATGTTAAGAAATTATTAATTCAACAACATTTACCGCATATTTCGATAAATGGGAAGAATTAATGATGTTTTGATAAGCACAGTTAACTAATATTTAGACGAATTATGTGAATTACATTTTGTTTTTAAATCAAAATCGTTCCAGTTTCGAAAAAAGCCAAGTGATTCCTCTCCAAGCAAGTTGGTGACATTCCTATATGACCTTTGGTCTTCTGTTACTTGATCCTTCTATGCGTAAAAGCAAGTTCTAATGACTTCTAATATATATGTATTAAATGTACCCGGCATTGGTTTTGTGAATTCTATATTATAGATATATTTATACATAATGAATTTAATATTTAAAGATATGTACAAACTGTACACTGGATTGACAAAAACCCTAACTTTGGGTTGAATTCCCGCGAATATCTTCCAATTAAAGTGTTAATTTTACTATAGATAATAATTATAACCATAAATCTGTGTAAAAATCTTTCCTCGAAATAGCCATTATAATGGTTCTGAAGTTTATATATCTTTTTCTAGAAATGGTATCGTCTATGCGACACAGCAGATGTTGGTTGGTTAAACGTCATAGTCTATGGTGCAAAAGGCTTAACCGGAAATGACTGTTACTGTATCCTCTCGTTTAACAATGAAAGGGTGTTTACAGCGACAGATAATAAAACTAATGCACCAAGTTGGATGAAAGTGTTTCATTTGTAAGTTTCCACATAAGAACTTTTTAAGAAAACCCACCCTTTTTGGTCTGGGACTCAGATGTGCTGCATCTGTTTCGTGATCATTTGTTTTATCAATAGGAAAGTAGGTAGATCAGAGTTCTTTAACGGACACACCGTCATCTTGTTGGGTTTAAGGCATGTCGGTTTCCTCACGATGTTTTCCTTCATCGTACGAGTAAGTATTAAGACTTGTTAAGAGGCTCATAAATAAACAAGTAATTACTTAATTTAGCCCTGCATTTGCATTATCAGGTGTCGCTTACTTATATAAAAATAAATTCTCATAGTGTATCTTGGTTTCCTAATTGATTTATTTTTTCTGATAACCGCCGAGATCACAGCTTAATTAGGTTTATTACTATTAAATTATAATGATAACATTCATATTTTATTGGTCAACATGACGTAAAAGCCGGACATCGTTGACTAACAGATACAATAATTTATTTTTAGTTAAAACAAGACTCAAAAATTTACAGTTTCAAAAGCGTCTATCCTGTTTAATGAATTGAATAAAAACATCTATTATTTCAGCCAAGTCACTGACATAACTTCAATCTTAGAGATAACAGTTTACGATGAAAAGAAGGGCGAGGAGGTAGGAAATATTTCAATACCTCTTCTGAACATTGAGCCTGGGAAAAAATGGTACGCATTGAAAGAAAGCACGCAACGCGAACGTGCCAGGGGAAATAACCCGAGAATATTATTGGAAATGGAAGTGTCTTGGAATCTTGTGAGTGCATTTTAGACTTGTATATTTAGCTCGGTCACATAATGTATCTAGAACAACCTATATAGAATGAATAGAAAGTTGATTTTCTTTCTGTATTTTCTCGAAAAAAAAATTAATTTAATTTTAACAGAAGGAATTTATAGTTCGTCGTTATTTCTGAATCATATCCTTAGACTCGAATTCGACTGTCAGATATGGCTTATTTACCTTAAAGTAAAAATTTACCAAAGTTATTATATTTAGAAACCTAAGCGTTTATAAGTAAGTAACAGCCTCTGAAAATTTAACTCAGAACCTGCGACTATCAACCACTTAGTACCTAAGACCTTGGTACTTAGTGGCTCTACCTTGCCTGGAAGAAATCGCTTGTTAGCGATAAGGCCGCCCGTTGCCTAATAACTTTTGTAACCTGTTTTTTTTATTTCTGTTATATGTATGTTTTTGATTAAGGTAATAAAGTATAAATAAATAAATATTTTTAAAAACGTTTATATGCGAATACGTATTTCTGTTAGATCAAGGCTTCATTGAAAGTTTTAACACCTAAAGAAGTTAATGTAATGGAATCAGAGGAAAAGCTTGACAGACATTTACTAGCTCGAAACATAGCAAGAGGACGAGTTGTAATGATGTGGGTGGTTGATGCGTTTCAGATAATAAAGTTAGTATACAAATATTTAAATAATTTATATAAACCTACCTTCGATATATAATCCTTTGTAGTATTGCGATGTGAATCATATGAATGTTGAAGATTATTACAGTGCTAATAATTAAATTGGGGGTAGTAGTTAAAGTAGAAGGAAGTAGAAGTAGAAGGTGGAAGGGTGAAAATTAAGGGTTATAACTTGTTTATGCCAAATCAAAAAGAAAACGGAAACAACCCAAAAAAAAATCAATCTACCGAAAATTTTTGTTTCAGAGGAGATTTTTTTTTAATAAATTTATCTAAGCTAATTTACTTATTCAAAAAACCGGACATAACAATAAATTCTTACATTTAGAAACAAGCAAATATTACAATAAATATTAAACTAGCAAACACAGCTTTTAACTTAATGCTATAACTAACTAACAAGCTATATATTATTAAAGCGAGAAATATCGACTAGGAAAGTATTTTGTAAGTGACAAAATACCTAAAGTGACTTTTTCCTGCCATTAGAATCAGAAAAAAAGCCGCATCGAATGACCTGGGTCCTGTGTCCCTACGATGAAAAAAAAATTACATACGCCGTTGAAAACGCCCGTACTTATATTATTTTTAGCAAGATTAAATGCTGTATGTAGACCAAAATCTAGTCATTTCAGACATTTTGCACTTACAAAAAGAAAATCTGCATTTTTTTCTTTACAAATATTTTCCATTTAAAAACTTAACGCTACTTAAGATTTCAGCGGCGTGTGATTTTTAATTCGTTTACTTACAGCAAGTTTAGGGAACTACAGTTTTGTTTTTTTACCATTTACGACATTTTATTTCAACCAAACATTACATTACCAAATGACCCACTGCATTTCTAGATCTAATCATAATTATAAACTAATCTTAATCTTGAATTCAATTAAAAGTACAAATAATAAATTTCCTGCATACAGCATATTTACCGCCTGTAAATTGATAATATTTCCGCGCGTACATTTTTCTTCCTTAGTTACAGCGTTTTAAAGGTTTGTGATTTAAAAACTGTTTGCTGTAACTAGCCAAACACTACTTATAGTAACTTTGGATAAAAAGTTTACATTGCAAATGGTGACTGGCAGTTAAATAAATATATGTTTCAAAAATGGTAGCAATATCATGGATAGGTCAGACACTATTAATTTTTTTCCGAAATTAATAAAGTTTTTTGGCTCTGGTGAAAATTGCAATATGTCTACTTACAGCAAATGTGCTTTCCTACGTCGATATAAATAATAACTTTGGCCAAATTTGGGAAATACTTTACAAAACTATGAATCATCGTAGCGTAAGGTTTACTTGAAATCAAATATGTAATAAATTTGATTTTAGTTTCGGAAATGTTAGTGAATCTAATTTAATAAAATACATTTGCTTAGATGAGAGTATTTTTTTTCAGGTCATGCTTTGAATGGCAATCAAGGAAAGCCAATATTATATCGCTAATCTGTTGGTTATTATTTTGTTACTTTTTTAAAACCTGGATGCTACCATTACTATTACTGTTGCCTTTCTTTATTTATCGACCTCGGGCGAATGGTAAGTTTATTTTATAACAAGATGACCTTTAATGGGGCAGATAACTATTAACAGATAAAATGTTCAAGTATGTTTCTGTTCTTTTAAGAAGACAAACCTTACGTAGATTTTACATTGGCGCTTCATCCCTTGGTTTTAGTCTCAGATTTCTCTTACTGTAATAGGCAATTAGGTGATCCGCTGGGTCTAAGGCGTGCCGCTTTCCTCATGATGTTTTCCTTCACCGTACGAGGTAATTTTAAATGCGATATAGAAATAAATGCAGCAGTGTTGGCCTAGTGGCTTCAGCGTGCGACTCTCATCCCTGAGGTCGTAGGTTCGATCCCCGGCTGTGCACCAATGGACTTTAGCACGCATTTCACATTCGGTGAAGGAAAACATCGTGAGGAAACCGACATGTCTTAGAACCAAAAAGTCGACGGTGTGTGTCAGGCGCGGGAGGCTGATCACCTACTTGCCATTAGATTGAAAAATGATCACTGCTTGCTATTGAAAAATGATCATGAAACAGATTCAGAAATCTGAGGCCCAGACCTAAAAGTGGTTGTAGCGCCAATGTTTTTTTTTTATTCCATAGAAATAAATGTCAATTGGAGCCCAACCGTGATTCGAACGCACGACCTCAGGGTCGCATAATAATAATATGGCTTTATTTTATTCCATAAATACATACATATACGACACAAGACATTAACAGTAAGTAATAAAATAAAATGTTGTATTTATATGGAACCGCCACGAGTAAAAGCATTCCACAATTTTCTATTTTTTGCTACCTTCAGCCATCTTTTTCCCCCGTCATCCCAATTTCGTCGTTCGTTTTTCCTTCAGACTAGGCCAACAAAATTAACCCTAAAAATAATGTAAATAAATTGAGGGGTTATTAATTCGAAATGAGATTAAAAAATGAACTCTATATATCATACTAATTGTATCTCGCATTAGGATAGCAATTATATTTTCCAAAGTTCTATAGAAATTTAATAACTTCAGAATTTATAGATCATCATTAAAAATACTACTACGAACATTTTTTGTTTTTAGGTAAGAAACAATTAACAAAAGAAGAGGAAAATTTTCAAAAAGAAAAGGTTAGTAAAATGTAAACCATCTTCAAAAATCTCTACAGAAATGAACAATGTTTCCTTATAATTCCAGGAAGAAAAGTCCCTACGTCAAAGAATCCAAGATTTTCAAGAAACGATTCAAACAATTCAAAACTTTGTTGGTAAAGTAGCAAGCCTTGGTGAAAGTATTAAGAAGTACGTATATAATTAACATTAAACATCTCCTACACAGATTACATACTTTTACTAATATTATTAAGCTAATGCATAGATTTTATCGCGGGCTTTGAGCGTGGCGACCGAATCAAGAAATTCCGTAACGAAATAAACCTAACACACGATGACGTAATATAGGTGCGGCCAATACGCGTGAGAGCGGCACAGAACACATACTGCGTCTCACATCGGTTTAGCGTGATCAGATAGGCGTGTTAGTCTGAGTCTGGTAGAGTGGTAGATTGAATTAATATCAAAGAAAAAACTAAATGAATTAATATCAAAGAAAAAAAATACTGCAAAAAATAAATAAATAATTATATTGCATAAGTTTATAAAAAATGCTATGCAATAGCTTAACATCGGCAGTATTTTTATTTTTTTAATTAAAAGTACAACAACAACATTAACAACATTTTTTTAGTCTGTTAACCTCCCGAAGGTTGTTGCTAAGTGGCCTCATTATGTAGTTTGTCACGTTCACAAACCATCTCAGGTCTCAGCTGCGATTCCCGGAAGGAATCAAAACTAGAAAATACGCAGTTTTGTTGAGTTTTGAATGATAATATAAAAGTACCACCACCATGTAGAAACAGCTGCCCACTGAAGTATTTCCGAACCAATTCAACTGAATCCTTCAAGATGAGAGCGTACCAATTCTTAAAACGCAATCGTGAGCCCTCTGACATTGAGAGTGTCCATTGACGGCGGTATCACTTAACAAGGATGTCATCAGGAAGGCATCCTTCCCGTTTGTCCTGGAGGCAAATGTAAAATAAAGCTGTATAAAGTCGTGACATCCGTCCCGATAAGAATTATTGAATAGACAGTACACTTGAGTACATTCATACACTGTAACATCTGCATGTCTCAATAAAAGATTTATCGGGCATATTTAGACCTTTTAGTTATTATTAGAATTACTACTAATGACTATTTTACAGATATTATTATTTTCTAATGAAACAGGGGAAAAAAATAATTCCGTCAATCGCAGCCAAAAGCTAAACAAGTTTGTTGTTTAATAAATCTGTCTTTTCAGCTTATACAATTTTTCGGTGCCTTTCGTAAGTTTTCTGGCAATTGTCCTCATCTCCATAATTGCGTGTATTATGTTTTTGATACCACTTCAATACATTTTAATGGTGTGGGGTACGTATCTTGAATTAAGTAAAAGTTCATTTTAATATTTATTTTAATTATGGCTTTAAACTCAATTATTATCGATACTGACCAAAAAATAACCTTTACCTACCTATATAAAACTCTTTCTAAATTCTTAATATCTATAACTTGCATTAAATTTTTAGGTATCCATAAATTCACAAGAAAAATATTGAAACCCAACAGAGTACCTCATAGTGAAATATTAGATTTGCTCTCTAGAGTTCCTGATGATATCACTTTGGTAAGTTTACATATTTACATGATCTGCACTAGTATTGTGGAATACCATATCTTTAATTCGGTGTTTTTGTACCGCGCGATCTCAAAGTTGTGTCATCGCTTCGGATATTGAGACAAATACATCAAAATTGATTTCAAATACGTCAGGATCGCGAAGTTACAACTGACTCCCGCAATATGATGGCTATTCAAATGAATTCATAATTTACTTGATAAAAAACATTGATTTGTTGCTAATTATATTTTATTAGGTCCTTACATATGAAATTGGCGTTTTGTATGGGAGGAACAAAAAGTCGAATATTTTTAAATATAATATATTTAATTAATCAAAGTATGAACCATTGTTTTCTATGCACTTTTGCCATCTCATAGGTAGTTCATTGATCCCTTTACTAAAAAAAACAGTCGGACGGGAATCAATAAAATCTGTGAAGGCGATTTGGACTGCCCCATCAGAGTTAAATTTTTTCCCTTGCAAGAAGTTGTCCAAATTTCGAAAAAAATGGTAATCTGTTGGAGCACTGTCCGGGGAGTACGGAGGATGTCTTGGACATTCCAATTGAAGCTCTTCTAATTTGGTAGCCGTCTGTTGTGCAGTGTGTGGTCTAGCGTTGTCGTGAAGTAGCAGTGGCGTGGAGCGATTGACCAGCCTAGGTTGTTTAACCGCTAGCTTTTCCATCATGGTTTGCAATTGCTGACAATAGACATCAGCCGTAATAGTCTGGCCAGATTTGAGAAAACTGCAATGAACAATACCGGCACTAGTCCACCAAACGCTTACAAGTAACTTTTTTGGGGTTAATTTTCGCTTGGGGCAGGATTTGGCTGGCTGGCCAGGATCCAACCATTGCGCTGAGCGCTTCCGATTATCGTAAAGAATCCATTTTTCATCACAGGTAATGATTCGGTTTAAAATACCTTCATTATTGTGCTGGTTTAGTATGTAACGCAGCAGTCGACGCGCGTTTGCCGGTTTGCTTCAGTCGATTCGTGAGGTACCCATCTTTCAAGCTTTTTAATCTTCCCAATTAGCTTCAATTGAAATAAAACAGTTTTATCACTAACACCGCAGCCTGCAGCTAACTCGGACGTGGTTTGCGATGGATCCGCTTCCACAATAGCCTTCAATACTTCATTATCAACTTGGGTCTCAGGCCGTCCACGGGGCTTGTTCTGCAGGTCGAAATTTCCAGAACGAAAACGTTGGAACCAAAAACGAACTGTGTTTTCTTTTGCAACATGACCGACATACACATCATTCACCCTTGGAGTCGTTTCCGCAGCACTAGTGCCACGGCGGAACTTGTACTCGTAAATAATGCGATACTTTAAGTTTTCCATTTTGTAAAATGAATGACGCAAACAGAAAAAAACAAATGAATGACGGTCATCGAAGCACAAATACATGAGTAAATAGCTGTACAAATTTGAATTTGGAATTTCTTACCAAAGAAGAGAACATCGTGATTAAAGTGGCCAGTACGAAATACGCCAATTTCATATGTAAGGACCTAATATTACCTGAGAGCTTCACTAGGCAAATGAATACATGTTAATGGTATGGAACCTAATAATCATATATAACTGTAATCCTAAACTTGGGCAGTTATTTTACGCATCTGTATTTTGTCTTCAGCTAAGATAATAGATAACATGATTATTATTATTAACCGAGGCATCACTTGTCACCAATCGAACATAGCATCAGAGCGCTAAAAGCCGTGTTAACAATTAAGTTAAGGAAACAGTATTAATTATTATGCTTTTAAAATATATCTTAATAGAAAAATATCACATACTTAGTTAGAGTATCATAAACTTATTAATAATTTAATTATTAAAATTTTTTTCTATAGATTTAAAAATTAAAACACGGGTCTTAATTCACAGAATTAATAAAACAGTAATTTTTATTTCAGATTAACTGTCAAGAAATACCACTAGAAGAGATCTCGGATGACAATGAATTTTGAACAAGCAAAAACTTTAATTTATAAAATGCAAAATGAGATATATTTTAATGTTGAAGCTGTAAATGATCTGAATTATAAATTAACAAAAATTCTCCGAACTATTTACCAAAAACGAAAATTCATTTATTTCATAAACAGTTTTATTTGAAGTCATAAATCGACTCTTATTTAATTAGACTATATTTTATATTAAATAAGAGTTTTTTTTAATCAGAAACACACAACATTAACATCTAATGAGACACTGTTTAAATCCCTCTCATATACTCACAATATTTATCAAACATTGCCAATATGCAGATTGCAAATATCGTTAACTAATTCACGTGAGCTGTGTTAGTCTAAACCCTAATGTTAAGCGTACGAATCGCGGCTGTGTACTTTTGCTATGTTTGAAATGAATACTTGCCTATACGATCAAAGAAAACATAAGGAAATCATGAGTAAGTCCCAAAAATCGAAGGTAACATAGTAAAATGATTAAGAGGACAGAAAGCCCAGACTAGGGTAAAATTCGGAGTCGAGACAGCTAAGTGGTAACTCCCGTAAGTCAAGTCTAATACGTGTGTATACAGAACTTCTCGTCTCGACTCTAAATGTACCCTTGTACTCCAGAACTTAAAAAATGGTCATATAAAAAAAGTAATGTAACAGCATTAATTATTTTATTTGTATCTTTCACTAAAAAACTACGTAATAAGTAATTATAAATTAAATCACAGGTTAGCATTGTGTAACGTTTACAAGGTTGTTACACTCGTTTTATTTAAACAATTATATCTGAGCCAAGACGGTCGAACTCATTAGCAAAGTAGACCATATCTTTGTGGTCCAAGGCTGAATTTTGGAAAACGATGCGAAAGAAATTTACAAGCGTTCCTTGCGGCTGGTACGTGACCATCATAGAACCTTCCTTGATCATTTTCTCTTTGATTTTCGGCGCGACCTTATGTAATCTTTCGTTATAGTCAGGGTCATTTTCACAACCACGAAGGTACCTCGGTACGTACCAAAACATAATATTGGTACATTCTGGTTTGTCAAGAACTAATTTGAATCCCTCACGATGTCTAATATGCTGTAGGAAGTAGTCAGCGTTGTCAAAAAGTTTATCGATATGCTTTTCGAACCCTTCACTTCCTTTCGCTTTCCACATGAACCAAAATTTAAGGACGTCCGCTCGCCTTCCGCATTGGATATGTTTGTCGCCAGTGTCGTAGGACGTGTCGTAGAATTTGTCTTTTTGGAAAAGGTACTGAGCGTTCGACGAGTGGCCCTGGGCAAGTACGTTCTTGTGTCGGGTTAGGAATGTGGAACACTGCTGCGGAGCTGCTAATAATTTATGTGGATTCCAGGTTACTGAATCTGCTCTGAAAATAAAAAATAGATTCATTTTTACATTACGCACGGATAGATAAAGCATATTTTTTCTTTACTTTGTTGACTATACTATTAACAAAGTTTCTATTGACTTACAACTCGATTCCTTTTAAAAGATGTCTATGTTTTCTTGACATCAGAGCTCCGCCTCCCCAGGCCGCATCAACATGTAACCAAATCCCGTACTTTTTGCAAATACTGGATATTGGGATTAAAGGATCGAACGCTCCGAACACAGTTGTTCCAGAGGTGGCGGTCACCATAAATGGCGTTGAACCTTTGTTTATGGCACCTGTGATCTTTGTTTCCAAGTCGACAACGTCCATTTTGCCATATTTATCTGATTTAACTGTAACACAATTGTCACTACCAATTCCCATGAACGAAGATAACTTCTTAGTAGAATAATGTGCCAACTCGGATGTAAATAATACCAGGTTTGGTACTGAGTATACGCCTTTCGTCTGAAAAGTTAATATTTTTATTATTTGTTAATTTATTAATAATTGTACGATGGTTTACTGTTCGATTAGCTGGTTAGATCTAATAGTTAAATATTTGTGTGTATGTGTAGTTCGCTTTTAGGTATAGAAAACAAAGATTAATTTATAGGTATTGGTAGGCTATAAAATATATGTTTAAATATTTATAAATATATGTTTATACATATATACTATACTAGCTGGTGCCCGCGACTTCGTCTGCGCAAATGATGTAGCGTGAAAGAAATATTTTATCTACTTAAAATACGAGAAGCGATAAAAGTATCAATTTTTATTTAGGAATCAATTTATTACTACCAAATGTGCATTTGAAACAAATTATCAATTTTTTGTAGTTATGGTTCACTATTTTGGCCATAATGGTTTACACATAAGAGATATACTGTGGCGGGCTTTTTTGTAGGACTATTTAAGATAAACATTTCCATCATACGTTACATATCATGTGTAACTCTAGCGGTTTTGGCAACGCACGCCAAAATAGCTCGCTTATTTTTCCTACTTACTCGATATTTTGGACATTTCACCCAATATCTTTATAAATTGTAGCCTATGTGTTATTCTGATGTATAAGCTATACTATTATAAAGTTTCATTAAAATGCATTCTGTAGTTTTTACGTGAAAGAGTAACAAACATCCTGGATGGATGTTTACTTACTGTTACTTACGGTGGTAAGTTTTGCGTTTATAATATTAGTAGGATATATATATATTATAGGATAGTTTTTATCCTACTTAACCAGAAAAATTTACAAACTTAATTAATAAGTATTTTATAAACATATTTTAAACAAATATTCCTTTAAAAAATGTAATGAATCCGTATTTCTACTGCATCATTATAATCATATCGTGGTATTTTGTAATTATAAACTTTGGATCTTATAAGCTATGTTTTTATGACTTATACACGCAAAAGCAAAGCAGGTTAAGGTGACCATTGCCTGTAAAGCAATTACAGACTATAGGCAGGTCTGTGGTACTAAATATGTGATTAGATTTTAATGAATACTATTATTTTATCCACAAAATAAAGCATTCAGGAATAATATGTTTATAATCATTATTCGTCAACGTGTTGGGAATTCAAAGGGCAACGAATGCAAAAAAAAGAAAATGCAAAGGAAAAACTCGTAATTAATATTTTATCTACTCGAAGATAGAAATGGCTTTAAAATCTTGAATGTAATAAAACTGGCTGGCTAGAAATGTTTACAGTATCTTACCTTGATCTGTGGAAACTGGTGAAATCGCGCGCAGCTGATAGCATAACCATTGGAAATAGAGCCTCCAGGGCAAAAAATTCCATCTCCATCCGCCCACCCAACAATCTTTCTCATTTCTTTCAAAACTTCTTCCTCCATTAAGGTGAAGACTGGGGCCACTTCAAAGGTATACACGCTGGGGTTAAGAGCATCTGTCAACCACTGTCCAATAAGACCGTATGGATCCACGGAAGAGAAGAGTTGGTTTACGAAATACGGATGCGCCGTATTTACCGAATAACGAGCTACCTAAAAAATAATGGAAATTACAGAAATAGAAATAGCCTTTTGTTCTAAGTATCATTAGAATGTCGTAGGATGGCATCTGGACGAATTAGCAAATTGACATGGAATGTTCTGAAGCCCACTTCATCTTTGAAGATCAGCTCTGAGAATAGCACAATAATAAATACTAATAAAATTTGATACCCACATCAGCCATAAACGTCAACAGTTGCTCATGAGAAACAGGTTCTTCTCGAGGCTTTAAATCTATAATCTTCTTAATATCCTCAGGCGCAGCCCATTCCACAACCTTCGATGATCGATTGGATCTTGCGAAGACCACTCTCTCCATCAAAAAATCCACAGCGCGTCGCAAAAAGTCCTCATGCTTTGACCTGTCTGTTAGGCTTTGGAAGAGGACTTCTTCTGTCTTTTCCTCCGCTACAATAACTGAATCGGCAGGCATTTTTAATTTTTTTATTCACTGAACTCTGAACATAAAAGTTAAGCTGCAGTTTTACGCGTTGCGGGCGGCCGTGGCCATTTCCACTGTGATTTTGGTGCGCAGTTCCTCTCGTAGCCTTCTTAAATACATTCGAGATCAATTCACTTTATAAGGTTGTATGCGCTCTATCAAATTATAAACAAATTATTCAATTTAATTGAATAATAAGTTGAAATATGCAATGAAATTCAAGCAGAAACATTTACTGAATTGTACGATTTTATGAGTTTAAGTATCGAAGCTGAAAGGGATACAAATTAAAACATGATATGGTTTTATTCTAGCAGTTGGCGTTAAAGAAGTTGCGTGATTTAAAGAATTCTACTTCAGTATAATATTGCTATACGCGAAAGTAAGAATTATGATTTCGAATGTAAACAGCATACGTAAGTATAAAGGGAAGCAAATGTATAACTTTTTTTAAATATTCGATTGATTACACGATGCAAAAGATAGTACATACCTACATAATAAAATTAATTATCAAGATAACTAAGGCCACGAGAAACCTAAAGTTGTAACGGGTTAAAAGTTAAAATGCATTTCCTCAACCTTGATATCTTATGGCCCTAATTAAACTGCATGGACTTGACCTTTGTTACATGGCTAATCAACTGCAAACGACCATCAAGATAGACTAAATTTGTTACAGTCATTATTTTGAGCGTGAGAAGGGCAGCTTCTAGCCTAATTCCAATAATGAATAGAAATTTAAAAGAACTTCATATTTTCTAGAAGTTCTTTTACTTGTTCTTGTTCTTTTATCTACAATTCGATGCGTGCGTTTTATTTTATTAACCAGTTTGTGCCCGAGTTTGTATCAACAATACCAGCCGAAAGTACTTAGATATTTCCGCAAACTACGGCTGTTAAATGAGCTTACAAAAATGCGAAATGTCTCTTTTACGACTTAATATTTTTGTATGATTAAAAATAAAAGTTTTAAATTTGAATCGTTACAACGCAGAAACATTAATAGCCGTGGCGATTCATACAATTGATATTAAATTGACTGATTCCTCAATCAAGACCCCTCCTTATTTGCTATATTTATTTTATTAATGAGATAAGTGCACTTTCCTAATTTATTTTCTCAAAGGTAGATTAAAAAGAATTTAATTTTAAGTAATTTGTACTTTTTAATTATCAGTATCATGACATAGATTGTATTTTTATTTTTTCTCGTAACTCGGCCCAGGACAGCGCTAGTTATATTAATTTTCCTATAAGGTTGTTAGCATCACAGTTTTCAAAAATATTCTTTAAGGATGATGACCTTCTTTGCGATATTGAACTGAACGCCACCTAGTGTGATTTTATTCAGCTCGCTGCGTTTGCTTGTATGTATATTATTTTGTAAATTAATAATTCGAAGTCTAGCAAATTATTGTTTAGTCATATGCTAATACAACATTAATTTGTCTGCAGTTTTATGCGAACATAACACAAATTAACAATTGTCAATTCAGAGTTGACATAACCTATCATCCTCATCTGTCGTCTGTCAATACTCATCACTCACTATGACTTAACCACTACTTAATCTGTGGCTAAATAAATCGCTACAGTCCACGAGGGTAAATAAAAATAATAAAACAATTATTGGTTATTTACTCACTAAATTTCGAAATTCAAAATTTGAGTTAAACTTAATTCAATATCTAAAACTTTAAATTTAGAGAATATTGCCATGAGTGATGGTCAATTTAGTGACTACGAGGAAGATTTAACTGCTAAGGTTAAATCTGTGCGGGTTAGTAATATTGAATCGCATAAATATAAATTTAATATATTTTAAATTTAATACTGTTATTTAAATATAATATGTATTATTTAGTTTGCAGAAACACCTACTTATAAATATATAAGTACTGACGATGACGATCTTGATTCAGATGATTACTTTTATGATTCCGATGATCCTACTCAAGGATCAAGGAAAAAAAACAATGTTAACCCTCAAGCTCCTACAAACAAAGTAACATCTTACCAGCCAACTGAAAAACTTTTCAAAAGATATATTAATCGAATTAATGTCGACCACTATGAACCCTCTGACAATACCCAAAAATTCATAGAAATGAATGATAGAAAAAAAGACAATGAGAGAATAAGAATAAAAGACAAACATGATCGAGCTACAGCAGAACAGGTTATGGATCCAAGGACTAAAATGATCCTTTTTAAGCTTCTTAATAGGGGAATCATTAATGAAATTAATGGATGTATATCAACAGGAAAAGAAGCAAATGTTTATCATGCTACATCAAAAGATGGCAGAGACTTTGCTGTTAAGATTTTTAAAACATCAATTCTAATATTCAAAGACAGAGACAAGTATGTTTCAGGAGAATATAGGTTCAGAAATGGTTATTGCCGTTCTAATCCTAGAAAAATGGTAAAAACCTGGGCAGAAAAGGAAATGAGAAACCTAGTCAGGCTGCATAATGCCCAATTAAATGTTCCTGAACCTATAATACTTCGGAGTCACGTGTTAGTGATGACATTTATGGGTGAAAATGGCTGGCCGTCACCAAAATTAAAAGATGTTGAGATATCACAAACAACAGCACGTACTCTGTATAGAGATTGTATTGTTATGATGTGGAAAATGTTCAATATATGTAAACTAGTTCATGCCGACTTGTCTGAATATAATTTGCTATACCATAATGGTAATATTGTTATGATTGATGTTTCACAATCTGTAGAACATGATCATCCACATGCCTTTGAGTTTTTACGTAAAGATTGTACAAATATATCTGAGTTCTTCAGGAAAAGGGGTGTTGCTACATTAACTGTTAAAGAGTTGTTTGATTTTATTACTGATGCAACAATTAATGAGGCCAATTTAGAAGAATGTATGGAAAAATTATCAGAAAAAGTAGCTTCAAGAAACTTTGAAGAGATGACTGCCCAGGAGCAGATTGAAGAAGAAACATTCAAAAATGTGTATATTCCGAAGACTTTAACAGAGGTAATTGCCAAAGTAGAATTAAAAAAAATGGTAGTGTTAACATGTAGTTAAAGATAGAAATATTTTAAACATTTTTTTCATAACACTACTGTTATGTTTAATGATATAATATTCAATAAATTTTAAAAAATCCAAAAAACTCAACTGTTACTTAATAAGATAAAAAAAAGTTCACCACTTATGAGGTGACTTTTTATGATAAAGACTATACTTGAACTATATTTAATCATGTTAAATTGTATGTTTCAGGTTATAAACTATGAGCGGGATATAAATAAAGCTAAAAAAGGTGATACAGCAGACTTAATATACAAGAAAATAGCCGGTTTCAATGAAGACTTAAGTACTGTGGATAAACCAGACATCTTGCAAGATGACAACATTTCTGAAAATGGATCAGGAAGCGATTCTGAGAGCAATGAAGATGATGATAATAATGGTAATTTGCATGCTTCATTTTCTTCTGTTTTGCATACAACTATTACTTGGTAGAAGTGCAATCTCGAAAAAAAACAAAATTGAAATTGAAAACCTTGATTGATTGTTGATTGTAAACCTATTTTAAAAGAGTAAGTGTGGAGTTTCTTGTCCATTCATCTCCACACGAAACTACCTTTTGGAAGGGGAAACTAGAATCTTCTTTATATTTTATTTGACGTTCAAAGGTGTCATTTTAGGTGGTCTAATTGAAATAAATGATTTGACTTTTTTGATAAGATGTCTGTGATGGATTTTCCATCCAAATATTTGGTGTTTGCTTGGCACATCATTTAAACAATGAAAAGGTGTAGCATATCTGTACTGATCAGACTTCTGTGAGCTTCATGGGGGTCCCCTTTTACTCACTTAGTTTTCAAAGAAATGATCTATATTGGATCCACAGCAATTATAAAGTTTGGTAATGATTTAATATATTTCTATGAGTGATGTATTGAAGATTAAATTTCCAATGACAAAATATGGTACTCAATAACTATAACATTAATAAATTGTGTAAAGTAAATTTTATTGGAAAATCATTTATCTGTAACCAAAATAAGCCCAGCCCACCCAGACACATTTTTATTTGCACATATTATGTATGTATGTGAATGTGGATAGACAAAATATAATATTAAAAAATAATGTTAAATCATTACTTGCTTTATGCCTCTTATTTGGATTCCCTTATTTGCAATTAGGTTTTGGTTAGCGATTTCTCTGATTTATAAACCACTCTGTATGTATGTGTGTGTGTGAATTGAATGAAATATTAAATAATGAATGATGATGTTTATATTTTAATTTTAGAAACAAAATTCAAGAATTCAGCTAGACCTAGGGATGAGTCACCTAACACTAAGAAAGCTCGTAAGAAGGCTTTCAAAGAGGAGCAAGCAGAAAGGAGAAAAACTAAAACAAAGAAACATATTAAGAAGAGGCGAGATAAGGGAAATAGTAAAAAATAAATGTTTATATTTTAATGGATTAATAAAAAGTCAACAGAATTTATGAATTTTCTTTATTACAAAAGTAAAAAAAATACATATTAAAACTGATGATTCTGCTGTATACACATAATATTCACATTCCTTGTTTGTTAGCTTATAAAATAATATAAATATTAAGAATAAAATACAATTTTATGGAATTAAATTGTCTTAATTGGACATAATTAGTTAGGCTTTTTACAATATGATGTATACAATAGAATTTAAGTACAGTATAAAACACCTCTACCGAGTTCTACCTAAGGTACCCTTACTTTCATCATCAAAGAAATGGGCTTTGATGTAGAAAGGATATTAGGAACAAATATTTACATTCTTATGTCTTCAATATTATTTTCCAGTAAGGAGATTTTAATCATTTTGTTTTAATACACTTGTAGAATTAAATTTCTCAACACACATTGAGAAAGCTTGTATAGGCAATTTCGTACTTCTGTATTTTTAATAGCATATGAAGAAGCTAGTAGCTTTGCATTTCTAATTCGATATATTCTAGCGTAGGAGACTTTCATAAGACAGATAATTTAATGAATGAATATTAAAAAATAAAGGGTGCGTGTACTTATGTACGCGCGTAAGAAGTTATACTTCTTTGGCATTATTAGAAATAGATTTTGATTGCATGCAAATAATTAATTACAATTAAATAATCAAAGACTGGAAAAGGAGTCATTATAGTCAATAAAGTTCAGTTTACATTTGAAAAATTTAATAAATAAATATTTATAATTATTCTCTTACAAAATAAAAAATTTTATAATTCATATTATAAAATTTTTAACACATTTATATTAATATAATTATATAAATGTGTTAATAATATAATTTGTAGCACATGCTACAGACCTGGATAGCAACTTTCTTTTATTCTATTTAGAGATAGAGATAATTTAAATGTAATACCGGTGTCTTCCTTGTAGGTTTCTTTTGAGTTGTTTGGGGATTCTTGTTGATCAGTTCGACATGATTTTCTTTAACCTTTCTTTAATCCTACAAAATAATGAAATTGTTAAGTTATGTTGTCACTGTTGTGCACACCTTTGTTTGGCTTTTTTAGTATTCAAGTTATGTCAAAACTGATTTATTACCTTGTCATTGTTGGCTTTATTTGCTTTTGGGATAGCAATTGTTTCCAAAATGGTTTTATTTGTAATATCCTGAAATATATAAATAACATCTATTAATTTAAGTGTCATGGTGAGTGGTTCGCACTCAGGTATTAAGGTGTATTATACCCACTGTCCATTATAAGTGGGAATGGGCTCACTTCTGGCTGGACAGAGTTTCGGTACTACAAGAGCAACATGGATGTTTTGAGGTATTACAATATCTCTAACTACCCTGTAGGGGAATAAAGTATGTGCCTATGCTTGAGAGGTTGAGCCTTGAACATCACAATCATATTTATAATTAACATTCCTACCTCGACACCATCACAATCAAATTCATTGAAATCTACTTCAAACCGTTGCGGTATCATCTCTGCCATATCCATTGTGTCTGGAGAAGGTGATGGTGGCTTTGTTCCACCTCTTGTTTTTGATGTTTCACGGCGATAAGATGACAACTCTTTTTTTTATTCAATTTAGTGCACTTCCACTGAAATTGTTTTTTGTCTCTTGTCCTTATATTTGCTAGATTAAATCTGAAAAATTACATGTTTTGATTAAATAATGTAATCATTTTTTTGAGATGCAGGTACTTATTAAAATGTTTACTTCTCTGTAATATCGCTCCAAGCCTTCATTTTCTCCTTATTAGTATTCGTGCTTAAATCTTTGTTCTCAATTATTGATATATAGGGTCGTAGAATATTTCTAAAAAGTTGCTGTAACAAACGCAATAAACAAAAGTTAATTAAGTTCATGTTTCAGTTTTAATCAACAATAATACTCGATAATACATACGGATAGTTAACCTCAATTGTATTGAAGCACTCAGGAAGGTTGGCACAGTTTTTTCACAAATATTTTATCATATTAATTAGTATTGATTTAGATATTCAATTTCTGATTATAATTCAGACGCACATATAAAATTCGCACTTGTATAATGAAAATAACTAGGTACTTTTAGAATCTTTTATTTTAAACAATAATTCAAACTCCTATATTTGTTTAAAAGGTAAATGTCATTGTCAGATGTCAATTGTCATGGATATTCAAAATTCTTGTTAAGCTGCTAAGCTAAGAAATAGAATATGCGTGAAGTTAGCTTATATTCTATTTCTTTTGTAGATTGCGCACGCTATAATCACACTCCGAATTTTGTGTCATAGGTGTGCGCGCATCGTAAAATTTCACTCTCATAAAATTTTCATAAGACAGATAACTTAATGAATGAATATTATAAAATAACATTAAAATACATAAATAGGTAGAAGAAAAATATCTACATTTTGTGACGAAAACCTTTTATTTTTAAAGTGTTTTTTAAGTACCTTTTCCTTTTGTTGACCCTGTTTTAAAAATACATTGAAGTTCTCGAATATACGCTGTAGTAAAGTAAACAAACTTTCTAATAACTAGAACATGAAATAAGAATAATCATAGTTCTGTCAAACTCAAACCTGACACATACTTAGAAAGTTAAATAGTTATATATATATATATATATATATAGTTATACTTGTATGTCCCAAGTGAAATACTTTTATATCTCTGGCTTCTAAACATACAAGATCAAAAGACTTGACTCAAAATTCTAAATGCGTAAAGGTCCCGATGATGACCATGATATAATTTATGGATAACACGTCCTTTGTGTTTAGCGTAGTGTGGTATAGAAGAAATTCCGTCCTAACAGTTACAACCGTTCGACTGTTTATTATCTGTAATTGACTTTTAATTATATCAGTAAAGCTCGGGTCATCTCAGCTACGGATTTGTATGCCCGGTTAGTTACCTAACTGACTGAACTAAAAAATCATTACCTTATTAAAACGGCTGAGAGTTTAGCTTATGAGTAAGGTCTATTATTAAATCTTCTATTAGGTACATTTACATCATGCAAGACACACAACTAACACTGGGCAGGAAAACAATTGAAAACTTAAGAAAAACTTAATTTTTTATCACGATCATTGACAAAAATTTAATTCATATACAGTCGCAAACTTCTAGAACAAAAAAAATAACAAACAATTATTGTCACTGTTGACAGAAATTACATTATTAAGCCATTGTTGCCACTTAGGTATGAAGAATAAGTATTTCTCCTTATACAACATGACGTTTATACTTATTCATTAATTTTATCAGCATTTTGTATTTAACATAACATACGAAAAGCTAAATGCTGCGTATCTTTCTTTAAACATGTACAAATATATTCAACAGATTAATCCATTATATATGTCCTCGAATTTCAACTCCATATTGTGTAAAAATTCAAATATGGAATAATTAGAGTTTGAAAGTCATTTCTTTATTACCTATATCTATAGAAGTATTATATTCATTTGAAGCATAAAGAATTTTCTACTGGCTTCGCTTACAAATCGTCCTAATAATACTAAACATTCATAGTCAGTCACGCCCATACAGGATTCTTTGGTTCACCTGTTTGAAAAATGCATTACATCACAAACAACATAAATTACTTGCAATCTATCACATGTAGTTGTACTAAGTACCTGGAATTATAGAATATGATATCATGTCGCGAACCGCCACCTGAGGCCCATGAAACAAAGAAACCGTACGGCGAACATGATGCTGACCATTATAAATATTTCGAACCAGACTGAACTTTTTTCGATATCTAAGTACTGTAATAGGACGTCTGGCTTTGCAAAGTGGCAGTAGACATCGCTACACTCAAGGGGTTGCCGTCCAAAGCCGAAAATTGTAAGCACCATGGCAACTACTCCGCATCGGATGAAGGAAGTCTTCATAATGATGTTCATTATTAGGGGGATTTTGTGGGCGAAGTCGAAGCCGTAGATGGCCAAACCAAGGAAAGGGGCGATAGCTGCCGGGCCGATCGCACATCCATTCTGTAATTGAAATTTATTGATTAGATTCATATGATCATGTAATGTAACTTGTACTATAGTGAGCAGCGCTGTTTTTGTTGAGATCGCGCAGTACAAAAACGCAATATTGAAGTCGGAAGCGCTATTAGGAGTGTGTAAGTCGTCTTCAGAATTAGTTCAACGGCCCCAATAGTAAGATAACTCGATTCACGCTTTTTTCGGCAATAATGACATGTGATGTAACACGACTTTAAAAGTTTAGGCAACGCACTTGCGGGCCTTCTGGCAATGTGAGTCAGAGTGTCCATGGGTGGCGGTATCACTTTACATCAGGTGAGCCCTGCCCGTTTTCCCCCTGATATATATAAAAAAAGTGTGTGCATACAAAGTACAGAACACAAACAAGTACAAGTACACATGGCAGAACTGAAACTTTTTTGGCAAACTAATTTTTAAGTCTTGTTTATATTTATACAAATCTAAAACTTTAGATTTCCGACTTATAGGGAGGGATTTTTTTAAAATTGTCATTAAAATATTAAAAGTGTCGAAAATTAATACAAATTATAAATTTATTTCTTCGATAATAAAACACGTGGCATTTTATTTACCATTCGTCGTTTGAGATTTCAATAAATTATTTTGCATAAAATATAAAATACTAATATTTCATAAATTATCTTTACGAAATTTTAATTTAAAAAAATAGAATTTCTATAAGGTAATTCGCCCTTCTCACTCTCTTTCAATCGCTCTCTCACTTTTCTTCGACAAAAACGTTGCACGTCATCGTGACGCTAATATTATTATTATTGCGTTTCATCCGTAAAAATTTTACTTTTATTTTTATATTATTTATTTTTATTTTTATATTTTTTAGGCGCTAGAGCCTGAAAAGTTTTACTTCAAAAACAAATACGGAAGTACGCAAAAATTAAAATAAGTGTTAATTTAATTTGCCAGGGTGGCCACATGTGTGTCTTTAAATAGTATTACAGAGATACATACCCTAACACTAAACACCGATCCAATAGCCATCCCGACACCCTCAGCGACCAGAGAAACAATATTTCCTATTATACAGAACGCCAGGAACCTATTATGGGCGTATGGAACTCCGACCATGAAGAACACAATCGTTGAAAAGATCATGTTTAAGGTAACTTGTACTGGAAGTTTTGAGACTGTTAACGCCGCGTAGTATGGCACCAGGTTGTACCAGCCATTGAAATGTTCCTTTTTCACCAACTTTACCTCTTGGGGATCTGTAATCGGAATTAATACTTAGGTCACACTTAGGTCAATGATTTTTGAAAAATATTCTTTATGGATTCTATACCTAGTATAGATGGTAACATTTTATTTTCCATGACTAAACAATCTAACGTAATCGTATATTTGAGCAGTGCATCGGGGCAGTCAGTACGAGTCCCAAGAAAGAAACTTCCGAGTGCGTGTATTATGATAAACGTCACAAGTCTAAGAATCTAATTATGTTGGAAGAACAAAATGCACAATTTGACACAGTTTTTACGTAGGGCTACACATAACAATTCCACCCACAGATTCGCAACTATTGTCAATTGCCTTGATTATAATAGTAGATATTTGTTTATCACACAAGATAACTAAACAAGAAAGCACTTCTAAAATGATTGTTCTTCATTTGTTTTTTACAAAAATGCTAAATAGCCATATTTTATTTTATTTTACGTTAATATAATTTCAGCATTGACATCATTATTCTTGTCAGGAGACAAATAAACCAACAAAAACCTAAATCAACAAGAATGCAAATCTAATAAAAATGAAAAACACGAAATACAAAAGAAATAAATGAGGAAAACAAACTAAAGAATATTTACAAAATTTAAAAACAACTAATAGGACTCTTTAGGCAGTTAAATGGATAATAAAAAGGTCTGTTAACCTATGTAACTCGTTGTCTATGGACAACGGCGGAGAAATAATTGCTTTTGAATTAAGAATATATCATGTTTATGTACAATACACATTCTGCAAAAAAAACTTTTAAAGGTTTCCAAACCAGATACAACTTCCATCAATAATAAATCGAATGAATATTATAAAATATCAATAAATTATATTCAGCTTTATTATGTTATCATGTTAATAAGATAATCCTTATGCAGTTTGCGTTATTTTAATTGAGCGTTTCACGATTTGAATAAAGTTTTATTTTGTAAAGAGCATATATTATAACAAGATAAAATTAGTTACAATAAAAAATTTAGATTATGTTTGTTAAAAAACATACTTACAGACTAGTACTGGTACCATGATTTGTGTGTAAACGAAGAATATAACAAGTCCCACGCACATCTTCAAATGGTTAAACATTTGTGTACCGTCATTTGCCATATTGAAGAAACATACGCCTATCAAAAGCGCACAGCCTATGTGGTGAATAGTTTGAATCCATAGTGCTGAAAAAAATATTTTTTTGTCTTAAATAGTATTATGGCATGGGGCGTAGAAATTTGCGCACGCAATAAGATTTTTTTCTTATAATAATCCAGTGGCGCTACCTAACCCATATGAGGTCTTGGACTCAGATTGCATCCGTTTCTTTGATCATATTTATTACATAGACAATCAGCCTACTGTCTCACACATGTCATCGATTTTTGCCGAAATTCCTCACGATTTTTAATGTTGCGAGTATATTATGCGAGTGTTAGATGAGCATATACACAGAAGGTCTACATAGAAGGTGACTTTTTGCAGGGGATTGATCCTAAGACCTCTAGGCCAATAGACCAATGCAGCTCTTGAGATTTTGGTAACGTAAAATACGTCTGATATATATTTGAATATCGATAATGAAATACGATTTCCATCGGAGTCAAAGGTTTTAACAATGTCTTATGAATATGAATAACTGGGTTATTTAATCAAATTTATTTATTAGTTTACGTTTTGAAATACTAAAAATGCAGATTTTACTTATTTAATATTTTTGTTAATATGTGTTGAGTAACAGTTTCTTTAACTAAATTAACCCACCTGGTCGATTTCTTGATATTTGCAGTAGCATTCTTGTTAGTAGTATAATGAACTGTTGGGAGAATGTACTGGGGTATCCTTTGGTTTCTACTTTCTGCATTTTCATCCAGGCCACTGAGGAGTCCTTGGAAATTTTACTCTCTAAAGTTGTTGATGACGCTGCCGTATACTCTTCCATGTTAAACGTGCATTTGTCTGTTGTTAGTACTATTTCCGTTTCACCATTATTGTCTTCTGTTTGGTAACAAATCTTTAATTGCATTGTGTTGACTGGCTCCGGGTTTGTACTGTCAATTTTAGTTGACTTATACAGACTTCCGTTAAGGATTTCTTCTGACAATATTTGTATGCATTCTTGACTCTCCGTTAGCTCGATTACTAAAATGTTAATCAAATAAATTAATACAGGATCTTTAATTATCAAAGATGATTCGCGTAGTAAATTGGTTCTTGGATGACGCAGACGAAGTCACAGCTTTACGAATGGAAGCGATCTTACGGATTCGTATAGTTCAGTCCATTAGTCCTAAATTATGTCATAGATATTCTTTTATAGTCGAGGTAAACAGCCCATTGCCCAAACAGAAACAATCCAAAACCTAGGAGTTTAAGGCGATTGAGTATCCTGTCTGCGTCAATTACAAGTGGCAACACATTGGCGCCTTTAATAGACGTTTGGCGTGCTTTATTACTGACAATAAATTATAGATTGGTGTGTTATTTTTTAAATTACTATACTTCTATTTATTGTTGCTGTCTCTTCGTATTCTATAATCTTACTAGCTGACCTGGCAAACGTCGTTTTGCAATGTATATCATTTATAATAAAAAATAGGGGTTGATCGTAGAGGGGTGAAAATAAGGAGTTGTATGTATTTTTTAATGCTGTATCATAAAAAAATAAAAATTTAGGGGGATGAAAATTAGATGTTGTCCGATTCTCAGACATACCTAATATGCACACAAAATTTCATGAGAATCGGTCAAGCCGTTTCGGAGGAGTTTAACTACAAACACTGCGACACGAGAATTTTATAAATTAGATTTGTTGTAGCAGAAAATATAAGGATTCTAATTTCTATGACAATAAATTTGAAATTTCAAAATGTTTAAGTCACAAAAAATTTAACTGACTGAAACTTCAACCATTCTGAAATCTCTTATATCTATCACAATTTCATGAATACTCTCTTAAAATTATGTCATACTCATTCAACCAATACCCTAAAAAATGTGCTAAAAGCTGTATTACACATAAAAAATTACAAAAAGTTATAGACCATTAAAATGAAAAAAATGGAATTTAGTTTTTGCCAATATTTAATAAACTATTAATATTTAAGAAATTTCAAATAAAGATTCTGAAAGAGGAGGAAATTTCAATAAAAACTCTCAGCTCCCAACTCTATCTCCATTATTTATAACTTTAATTTAACGCTGAAAATAGGTCTGTGCGTACATTTTTAGGATTCGCGCTGCGTCAAAACGACTACGGCACATTAATTAATTTATTTAAGGTATTGAATATTTTTTTAAATTTGAAAAAATTATGGTGTGTTCTGAACACTATAATTAATTTATTCCCGTTGGAAATTTTACTTAAAGTTAATTTTTCAACAAGTTAAATAATTGTTAACTAACGAAATTTTCTCAACGACCGTCTTAATTGTAAGTGAAAAAAAAATGTTTTAATAATGGTCGTAAAAATATTTCGCTTCGTAGAGCCTTTCTTACATACATACTTAACAAGATCGTGCCATAAAAGTTAAAGAAATATTTATACTTTTGTTTTATAACAATTTTTACTTAAACAAAAACTTAAAAATCCAAGTAATGTTGTTAAAAAATTTTTTTTTTTTTCTACATCATCATATTATCGTTTTTATATTAATACAAGATATTTATTGATTTGCAAAAAAAAATTCCCGCCATTTGTTGATAATTTTTTTTAAACAAATTGATTAAATCAATTGTTTTAAAAAAAAATTTCCAACTTTATTACATTACAAATATTATGATTGTTTAAAAAAAAAAATTCCTTAATAACATATTTTAATTGTTTATAATCGTTTTTTTATATTTCTATTGTTTAAATAATTAGTTAAGAAATTTTTTTTTCTAAAAATCATAATTGACAGTCCTCTATAAAGTAACAAAAAAATTTTTTTTTAATCAACAATTCTATTGTTTATTAACTTACCAATTTGTTATAAACAAATGTTCAACTTTTTTATATTTTTTTCTAAAACTTCTAAAATTAACAAAAACAACCATATATAACAAAATGTAGAAAAACATTTTTTTAAATTTTTTGATTATCATGAATATTACTTTTATTAAAAAAAATTTTTTTTTTTTTATAGACTTTGTTATATATGTTCTTTTTTGTTAATTTTAGAAGTTTTAGAAAAAAAATATAAAAAGTTGAACATTTGTTTATAACAAATTGGTAAGTTAATAAACAATAGAATTGTTGATAAAAAAAAAATTTTTTTGTTACTTTATAGAGGACTGTCAATTATGATTTTTAGAAAAAAAAATTTCTTAACTAATTATTTAAACAATAGAAATATAAAAAACGATTATAAACAATTAAAATATGTTATTAAGGAATTTTTTTTTTTAAACAATCATAATATTTTGTAATGTAATAAAGTTGTGAAAATTTTTTTAAAACAATTGATTTAATCAATTTGTTTAAAAAAATTATCAACAATGATATTTTTTTTGCAAATCAATAAATATCTTGTATTAATATAAAAACGATAATATATGATTTAGAAAAAAAAAAAAAAAATTTTTTAACAACATTACTTGGATTTTTAAGTTTTTGTTTAAGTAAAAAAATTGTTATAAACAAAGTATAAATATTTCTTTAACTTTTATGGAACGATCTTGTTAAGTATGTATGTAAGAAAGGCTCTACGAAGCGAAATATTTTTACGACCATTATTAAAACATTTTTTTTTCACTTACAATTAAGACGGTCGTTCGAGAAAATTTCGTTAGTTAACAATTATTTAACTTGTTGAAAAATTAACTTTAAGTAAAATTTCCAACGGGAATAAATTAATTATAGTGTTCAGAACACACCATAATTTTTTCAAATTTAAAAAAATATTCAATACCTTAAATAAATTAATTAATGTGCCGTAGTCGCTTTTGACGCCACCGCGAATCCTAAAAATGTCACGCACAGACCTATTTTCAGCGTTAAATTAAAGTTATAAATAATGGAGATAGAGTTCCGGAGCTGAGAGTTTTTATTGAAATTTCCTCCTCTTTCAGAATCTTTATTTGAAATTTCTTAAATATTAATAGTTTATTAAATATTGGCAAAAACTAAATTCCATTTTTTTTTCATCTTTAATGGTCTATAACTTTTAATTTTTATGTGCTAATACACGCTTTTAGCACATTTTTCTAGGCGTCATTCCGGTTCAAATGAGCTATCGCACATAATTTTAAGAGCAGTATCTCTATTTTGTTCCATTTTCAACTTGTCGACTAGACTCTTACACATTTATTCCTACTGTCGTATGCTAGAATCGTCCAACCAGAAATAATGATTGTTTCGAGAAGAGAAACCGCCTTATATGCCATGATACTAAGCGATTGAACAGCGTATGATAAGTTCTAATTTATGGTATTTCGTAAAACTCGTAAGAAATCAAATTGTAGTTCATGGTAATAACCTTTATAAGCACTTAAATAAAATGTCAAATACTGCACTTTACGAAAAATTCTGGCATTTCGCTATCTACCTAGTAGTCCTTGCTTTAAATATTTCTTTACATTTTCATTATAAACCTTTACCTTACTTAAATATTTGCTCAACACTTAACCTTACTAAAATTGATTGGTGTGGTGACGTAACCATCATTTGTACATATTTGAAGAGCTTTAGAAAAATTATCGTCATTCACTTGAAAATACTTTTGACATCTCTAATATATAGGTAAGTCGGAATCTCTTATGCAGAAAGAGTCCAGTGTTATATCGCTATTTTAAACCCCGACAGGAAATCAGAACCCGACTAGTTATTTTTGCATTTGTTATAATTAAAATTTATAATTTAGTTACTTACTATAATCCGCTGGATTGTGATGGCGAGGACAAACTAGGCCCAGGCTGGATAGATGTGGTACCATGGCCTCAGTGTCTCCTTGGTAGATGCATAGACCATCAGCGATTATGTACGCCTGCAAATGTAAAATAAATCGTCAGTACAAAGACCAAATCTCCAAGGAAAAGTAGTTCAGTGCTATATTGGCGCAAACCAAATTAGGCATTGCACTCAACGTACGAGTATCGTCATCTTTACCTTTATACAAGGTTTTATTACAACAATTTTCTTAGTCTAATAGAGACCGAAGACAAAATATTATACGAGCTATTTCGCTTCTTTACTTAAGTTAACCACATCATATATAATGCTATATCTTCAGTTACAAGCTATCTCTTCTAAAATACACTCTCAATTTTGGATTTTATTAGTATTTTTTAGTTTCATAAGCGTGGCGACAACCTAAATCAACGGAGTTTCGCCCCGAGTGTATGCAGGCACTCTTTTCAGCATAATTTATATTTAATAGGATTCATTTAGGAATAAGTTATTTTATATTCATTTTTTAACGCGGGTTAATAATAAATAGTGTATATTATATTTGCACATTAAAGCATCCCGTTGACCCAGTTGACAAATGTTTTATTTAGTTATATCTATTTATCTCAAAATATAACTTAGCCCGATTACGCAGACGTACATAGACAGCAAATGGTTACCACTGGAGAAGGGCAGCATGTAAAAGAATCTAGTGGAAGAGTATTAACCATAAGGCTTAGTTTAACGTGTGCCTATAGGGTTCAAATCAATCAGTTACGAATCAATTATACACGGTATATAAACGATACACAGAATATAAATCGTGTGTGGCAAGTTTTTGACTTTTTATAGCTAACTCGATTTTAAGTGGGGCTTAACGGATCTGGTTTTTATACAACCAAATATGAACATTTAAGACCAAATCTAGACTGATTTGTGAATATGTTACTCGTATAGAAATTATCTTTTATAGCTACGCCTGTGTTAACGTTATTATGTTTCAAGGACCAAATCTTACATAACTATTACTAAGTGCTTACAGAAACTTGGGGTTCATATTGCGAATAGCTTGTGGCTTCACGAATATCAGGGAAATTAAAATTTTATACAATGCGTTAGTTAGAAGCCACTTGGAGTGCAACGCAATGGTATGAGCCCCATATGAGGCTAAATACAGTCTCATGTTAGAGCGAGTACAAAATAAATTCACCCGTTACCTCTACAAGAGACTGTATGGAGTGTATCCTTTGTATCCGCTTATGTGCCCGACCCTGTTTGTTCTGGGTATGGTGGGTTATGACCAGCTACGCCTCAGAAGAGAGCTAGCTTTGTCAGTGTATATATTTAAGATACTTACGGGTCGGGTTCATAATCTGGATATAATGGAGAGACTGAGTCTACGGGTACCAAGTAGAAACCTGAGGCGGAAGTCTCAACTTTTGGATGTACCGCGCGCACATTCCAACTTGGTTAGCAAAGCACCACTCACGTGAGCAATACATATAATAAATAGAATTTCTGTTAAGGTAGACCTGTTTGTTTGTACACTGGCCGAGTTCACAAGAGTTGCTTCCTATATTATTAGTTATAAGATTTAGGTGTATAAACATATTTTTTTTAATGTTTTTTATCTAGGTTAATTGGTGTGGGTATAAATATTGTGTCGTTCTTTCGACTTAGTAATTACTGTAAAGATAGAATAATGATATGGAATAAAATAAATTAAAAAAAAAAGTCTGTAACCGTAACCACTATGGAGCTATCAAACGTCAGGGACATTTGCGTTTAAGACTTGCCAGTTTCCTCACGATGTTTTCATTTCTCGTTGGACCAAGTTAATTACATAGAAAAATAGACTGGTGTACAGGTGTATGGATCTTGTAAAAGCCTCCAATGGATTATTTTTTTATAATTTAAAAGACCGGACAATGAAAATGTAATTGAAAAGTATGAATTGTTAGAAAAATATGGCAACTTTAAAACTCGAACTACGCAATAAATATTAACACAATACACTCATCATTGGAAAAATCCTATGTATAAGATAAGAAAATTGACAAACAATAGTGAAAACACTACGTAATTTGTAATCAATAGTTCGTAATTACGGTTATGTAAAAGCGTGATACGTGCTGTATCACGCTCATACGAAGGCTAATAAAGAAAATAAAATATGAAGAATACGTTTCTTATCATCATCTGAAATACATATAGGTATTAAGACAAAATCGGATTACGACAGGCGTGACCCACTACCGCAAAAGGAATTTATATAAGAAAGACATCCATTTTCCATACAAATTTGTTTGGCTTTAGTGAGTCACGGTTGTAGCAAAGTGGTTTTGTCTCAAGTGTCAGCTGTCAAATAATGTCAACAACCATCTGGCAAAATTTGATTTAGTGCAGAAAACCACTGTTACAGCAACGCAATTTAACTCTAGCTGTGAAATATTCAACGTCATTTTAATATAGGAAATTATATATAATTGGATTTATATTTATTCACAAAAAGTTTTAATATTAATATGTTTTAATATTAAAAGCTAATATATTATTAAGTGTTTCGAAATTTACATAATAGGAGATTCATATTTATTTATAGACAAATCTAAGTAACTCCAATATCAGCTAGAATAAATACAATAATATGTCACTACAAAGAACATATTAATCATCAACATGACGTTATTTCTTTATATTGCTCTGAATGCAATCAATTATATGCGATACAAAATAGAGGACAGAATCGCGCATGTCATAAATTGTATGAAAACTTTAAATCGGCCTTAATCTTTGGTATTCATATTTCATAAAACCTTATTTCTTTACTGTGTTAGTCTGTTGACTAAAAGGTAAATGGCATAGAACAGGGAGCGAAGGAAGTTTCTGCCTCCAAGACACTTTTTTAACCGCAGAGTAAGGCATCGAATTATTATGTAACTACCAACATATATACCAAGTGTCCATTATATAAATAATTACGAATGCTAGTCATTAATTATGTGGTTTTTATATCTGCATAAGACAATGAGGCAAGAAGTAAATCACTTTAATGACCTATGCACACATTGCTACCTATAGCGTGGATTCTAACAGATGAATTGTATCTTGTCTTGTTTGACATATATGACAGCGCTCACGGCTCAATACAGTCTGATATACATCTTGGAATTCGGGGAGCTTAGTCAATATACGTTAACAGTAGATAGTGTATGTAGAAAGTCGAAAACTAAATTTGTATCAAAATCTGTCGACACAAACTGTCTTTTCATATAGGTACACACCCCCCAGTTCATTTTAAAGCAGCAATATTAACTACATTCAGCTCTGTAAGGTCGTGGCTACCGAATAAAATTACACGTATTTTCTTACTCAGTTTATTTAGCGTGAACATAAAATTTAAACATAATTTAAAAAATTTGCTGGTGTTTTCCTCGCTCAACAAATAAGTATGACAATACTAGGAAATGCTGCCAGCATTAAAGGCACACTGCCACAAGGATCAAAGTCTTTTTAATTTATATAAGTTTTCTATGTATGCATTTTAATTTATTATTATTATTACTGTGGTAGGTTAAGAATATTGTAAACACCTTTTTATTTAAAAAATAATAGATAGGGATAATTTTTTTATTTTATTAAACTTGTAACAAGTGAGAGGCAATGCTTAAGACAGGACGGACGTCTTGTTCCAAATCCGATAAAACATATGTTTCGACATGGTAGGTATAAGTCGATAGCAAGTTGCCTTAAAAATATCAATGTATTGACAGGATTTTTCCATACAACATTGTATGGTGCGAAATACGAACATGGAGTTGAGACCTTCGGTCATAGAACACAGTCCACCAAGTCATTGATCTTATCAGCCAATTTTCGATGGTTTTCCTTGTATATAATATTTGATATATAGAAAAGTTTATTAGTGCGATGCCGTAAGAAAAGAATATTATGTTATTAGTATTATTTAATTATCACAGAAAGATTATTTATTTATGATAGATTTTAGACATATTATGTATCACATTAAAACCTCATTAAAGTCAAGAAAAGTAAGAGTAATTTTCTCTAGATTTGCAATTCCCAACTGGGTCATATGTGATTAATGTGGCTCTTATATATCATGTATATTAAAACAGTCTACGTTATTTTGTTCTCTGAGCTCGCCATCGTATAGAATAAACGAGCAGCGCTTCTTGGAGATTGTTGAAAATAAACAGTAGAAAGAAAATACATTATTCGTCTAGAATTAGACTACGTGCTACCGTCGTTGGATTTTCGTGCTGTCAGCTGTCATTTGATATTCTCGTATTGACGTATATGATTTGACTTATTTGGACCAATTGACGAAACAATCAAAGACGACAAGATGAACATACAGAAAACAAACATTTGCAAATAAATCCTATATTCATGTAGCCAAACAAATAATTTCTACCTTGACACCAATAATTACAATAAAAGATGTATCAAGTTGAGAAAGATTCGCATTAATTTTGCATTCATTAAAAAATACAGAGAACACAAATAGATTCATTCAGTTTTTGTAGATGTTCTTAGGGGTAAAAAAAGTTTTATTTTTATTTTCAAGAAGAGACTGTTTACTATATCTCGTATACGTAGCTTTAGCCGTCTAAAACTTTGATTTGCTGGCACCATGTTATGTTCAAATGCTGGGCTGCTTTATATCTCTTTTGTAATGGCTTATAAAACGTAAACGATCGACTCTTACCCCTGAGGTCGTAAGTTCAATCCCCGGCTGTACACTAATGGACTTACTGTCTATGTGTCTAACTCGCTGGTACGGTGAAGGATAGCACCGTGAGAAAAGCAGCATGTCTCAAATCAAAAACTCGATCGACTCTGAACTCGATATATAGATTTATCGCTAGACGATGGCAAGCGGCCGGAAAGGATGTCATTGATCCCTAGGAAGATGGAACGGGCTTTGGTATGGGATGCTACTTGTGTGGACACGTTAGACCCGTTTCACCACCCTCAGACAAGCAAAGAAGCTGGGGTAGCCGCAGAGTAGGCGGAAAATAATAAACAAGTCTTTCCTCCAACGACTTTGTTCCCTTTCGAGTAGAGACTCATCGCGCGGTTCAAGTGCACAGGCGCTAATTAAAGATTTAAGTTGCCGCTTGGTAGATAGAAGTATTTAATTATTTATTTTTTTATTAAATACTGTATTGTTATGTTATGTTAGGTTTTTAAAAGTTCTAATGTGTGCAATTTTACAGACCACTAAATTTATTTTTAATTTGATCAATGGAAATGGCTAGTTACATTATAAAATGATGACTAATGAACAAAAAAGTTCTTATGTGTGCGATAGTAGGCTGCTCATCTACGTGTCTATGAAATAAAAATTATCAAAGAAACAGATGCAATTGAGGCCAAGCCCCATTTACTGTTGAAGCGCTACTGAATTATTATATAGAGATTATATATATATATATATATTATATATATATATAATACAGATATATGGTTAAATTTATATAATGTGATTATATTTATATATTGATAATACAATTAAGGATAGCTTTATTTGATTACACTGGCACTATTATATCGATACAAATGGTATTTATGTGATATGAATATTAGACAAGACCAACTTTAGAAATTTGACCCATATTAAAACAACATAATATAAATCCAATAAAATCAATAGGTCAATGTCGACCTCGTCAGCTAGGGTTGGTAGGGTCAAATGTTTTTTGACGCTACGCTATTCATAACAGTAAAAAGCACCAAATACATTTAAAAAGGAAATTTGAAAAACATGATAATTTTTTTTTCTAATTATTACCATTAATATGGTGTAAATTATGACACAAAGTTTATCTCCTTGTTTTCATTATTTTTACTCCTTATTTCACAAAAATATAATCAAAGCTGAATAAAGCGAATTTGAACATTTATATTAATATTTATAAAAATTTTTTTACAAATGCATGACAACCCTACTGCATCTAAGGATTCTTAATTTATAGCTTGTCAACTGCAATAACGTTTGACAGTTAACATTGGATACCAAATAATGATAAAACATAAATTATTATCGCCCATTAATAGCAACATTGAATATAGAACCTTATCAGATTCACGATATTTTATTACAGATTCTATATTGCGACCTCTAATGAATTAGTGTCATTTGATAATATAATCAGTTTAAGGGCGCGAAACAACTACAATAACTAATAATAAGGTATTTTTACATATATTTTCTTAAGTTGAAACACATTTCCCTTTTTTTTATAAATACCTTCACGCAGAGCGTATTGCCACAGACAAAGACATTTCCCATTTAGGACCGTTTTGAATAAGTGAGTTTGAATAATTTATACCTATTATGTAGGGACTTAGAAGATACATATTATATTCAAAGAGTTCGATCTGGCGAAACTATAATTGAATTTCTGACAGGTGACAAATCTGACAATTTAACGCACCACGGTCTCTAAAGCAATAAACGTCAAAACAGTAAACACACTTTGTAATTGAAAGTCACAATTTAACGCGTTGAATGGAAGTTTTTAAAATACCTGGTCAAACAACTCGAAGAGCGAAGCGGCAGGCTGGTGGATGGTGCAGACCACAGTTCTTCCTTGTCTCGCGAGCTGCTTTAGTAGTTTGACACACTGCACAGTCGTGACATTGTCCAGACCACTCGTCGGCTCATCAAGGAAGAATACAGGTGGATTGTTCACCAACTCCAGGGCGATTGATAGCCTGATTAAACATTCCAAATATAGCTACTAAAATACTGTTATTGAAGTGCATTAGGGAAAATTTTTTACGGATGAAACGCAATAATAATAATATTAGCGTCACGAAGATGTGCAGCGTTTTTGTCGAAGAAAAGGGAGAGAGCGATTGAGACCGATTGAAAGAGAGTGTGAAGGGCTAATTACCTTATAGAATTTCTGTTTTTAAACATAAAATTTCGTATTAAGAGAATTTATGAAATATTAGTATTTTATATTTTATGCAAAATAATTTATTGAAATCTCAAATGACGAATTGTAAATTAAAATGCCACGTGTTTTTATTATCGAAGAAATAAATTAAAAAAAATAATTTGATAATTTGTATTTAGTCTCGAAAATCTAAAGTTTTAGATTTGTATAAATATGAACAAGACTTAAAATTAGCTTTCCAAAGAAGTTTCACTTCTGACATGTGTACGCACGCACTTTTTTTTTAATTTTCTTACACCTTACATTTGGCACAGTGATCTTTAATGTGGAGGTAAGATTATTAAGCTGCGGGGTCATATGGTAAGATTCAGAGACGAGATTTAGTATGATTATGACCTTAGTATGATTTTTGTAAGTATATCAAAACATATTACTTACGCTGCTCTATCTAGGGTTAGATTAATCTTACCGCAACCCTCTCATTCAGAGTCCAGACTAAACGCTTATGTCAAACTCGTACTGGAACCCATTCCAGTACGAGTCAGAAAGGACGTTTCTGAATTTTACGCATATCCATAGACATAACATAATTCACAACAAACGCAAACTGCGATTTTATAGGTCGATGTTTATACAGGTTGGCCAAAAAGTCGTGGATCAAACGCAAATAGGGGATAGATGAGGTCATCAGCTGCAAAATATTCTTCTACGGGAGGTCTCTAAGCTAATTGTTTATTGAGGGTATTGAAGATAACATTAAGTTATACGATATAAAAATTTCTCAAATCATAACTTTTTGTTTACGTCGGACCGACTGTAAAAAAAAAACTACCGAAAAGTGACCCTGTATTACAAGTTTTGGCGCATTTACTAGGGATTTTGAAAAGGTATTACACATGGCCATGAGTCGCTCTAATAACATAAACAAAAAGTTATGATTTGAAAAAATGTTATATTGTATAACTTAATATTTATCTTCAATAAACTCAATAAACAACTATAAATAGTATGTCTAACGCAAGAACTCATCAGTACCAATCAATTGGATATTATGAAAAAGATACAGGATATAGATTTTTTCGAATTTTAATAAGAATTAGTAAAAAAAACAATTTTCTTATAAAAACGCAAAATAAATTATAACTCTGCAGGGGTTGAGCTTAGGGACCTCCCCGAACAATTTTTTTTTGCAGCTGATGACCTCATCTATCCCCTAGTTGCGTTTGATCCACGACTTTTTGACCACCCTGTATAGTAATAATATCAAATTATCACTTTCTTTTTTTATATAACATGCGTGTCCTGAATTATTAAAGAACTTTCAATTATGACTGTCAACTTTTTTGCTCCCATACTTTTAGTATTAAGTTTAACTTTTTGGTGGGCGGACGATCAATTAGCGGGTTTGTGGGACCACAAAAATAAATACGTCATTTAAATAATCTTGGAAAGCATTATTTTGTGTGTTTTAGTACATTAAATATTTTTGTTTTGCAATTGCCTACCTCTTCTTTTGTCCACCCGATAATAGATCGGTCTTAGTGTGCTGGTGTTCCAACAGGCCTAACTCTTGTAATATCTCTTCTGAGGGGGCTTTGCTTCCTTTTGGCAATTTCAAGCTGGCCGCGACGTCTATCGCCTCTCGCACAGTTAATAAAGGCTGAAGCAAGTCTTCTTGAGTGATATAACACGAAGATCTTTGGAACGATTTCTCATCGCGCGCTTCTCCGTTCACCAATAGCTCGCCTGCGACACCATTTGACCTTAAAAGTTAATTTACTATTAGCATTCGAATAAATTTGAAATAGATTGAAAAGATTTACTGAAGTATAACGTTGCTTTGGCTCGTCTATAGATTTTGTGAAATGTAGCAAAGCAACCTCGCAAGAGCACATAACAACCGATTTTGAAATATACATTTTGGTATTCGGAAATAACGTTACGTAATTTAGACTAAAAATTAAATATGTTTATCGACCGTGATTGCAAGTTATGTACACAACTTTTTAATCATTTTCATAATATTATACAGATAATTTCAAGACCATATAAGATCCTTAATAACGGGACCTGACAACCTTTAATTCTGTTTCCTCTCAGCTTTAGTTCCTATTTATATAAATATATCTATCTTTATATTACAACAGTTAAATTTTCATCCGAACTTCGCCTGATACATCTCAGATATCTTCTTGATCCGTCGGTAATAAAAAAAATAATAATTTACCTGTAACCGGATATTGCATTCAACAGTGAACTTTTGCCAGCACCAGATGGGCCCATGATCGCAACCAGCTGTCCGGAGATAAATCTTCCATTTACGCCTTTAACAACTTGTCGTGATGACCCTAAAAAAATATGTAAATTTTACAACTCCTTCGGACCGCAACAAATCTTAATTATTGTTTATGTATTACTAACATTTCTTAGGAACTAATCTTTAATAATCTTAATCTGTTTAATCCGCTCAATACTAAGAGTAGTTCAACGCTAATGCCCGCCTTCCACTGCGAGCGGAACGGACCCATTACGGACTCCGCTATTCTCGTAACGATGATTTTCATTTCCGAGGGAAACTTGGTCAACTCGCAAACCTTATATGTGACTCTTTCAACTCGCTCTCTCCGCTGCGCTCGTCTCCGTTTTGGTGGAAGCACATGTATGATAATCATAGTTACGAGTATAGCGGAGTCCGTAATGGGTCCGTTCCGCTCGCAGTGGAAGGCAGGCATAAGAGTGGGTTTCAGAAACGAATTTAAACATGAACAAAGTGGTGACTGGTCGTACATGAATTCGTGTATGCGGTGATGTTAGTTATTTCGACTATGTGTTTGCGTGTTGTTCCCACGAGAATGTAAGTGCGTGCTCCTATTTCACCATGCCTCCTCCCTGATAGAGGACAAGTCTTTGCTTTTTTTTTAATTTATGTTATTTTTATTAATTACTTAATATGTCATGTGGAACATGGTGTAATGGTTGCAGCTCCTTACAAACGTTGTGTAAAAAAAAATGGCGATTAAAAAGAGTGGTGGAGAGTTTATTGCCAGTTCTTCTCTTCCGTTCTACGCCCTTGATTCGAGAACTGACAGTAAATGTAAAATTAGAACCATTAATATGTATTTGTTTACTGACGAATCATAAGTGTACATTATGTTACCTATATGATTAAATGATTTTTTACTTTAAAGTATGATATTCAGAGACTGTAAAACGGTCAAAGTCCGGGCTAAGGAAAGTCGTGTAATCAAACGCGAGCTATAGATCTAACTTACTTTGCCTATAATCATACCAAAAACAATAGAACGCGAGTGTGATTATAGAGAAAACTTACTTTGTCTATAATAATACCAAAAACAATACAAAAGAAGGCTGCGAAGTTTAACAAGATCATTGTATACAGTACGGTTATATAAAATTACCCTGACCGTGACTCGGCTTAGCTCGGACTTAAACCGTCTTACAATTACTTCTCTGAAACTCAGCCTAAATATCATTTCCGTGTGTCAAAAATGTGTTAGATTTAACATATTGTATTCATACGTTAGTCCATTGTCTCGCGTATATAGCCTCTACAAAGTTTACGAAATTTTTATAATTAGATGCTATTTTTTCTAATCCATAAAGGTGCAATAAAAATAAAGTACTAATTGAAAATACTAACAAATGATGTCATTCAATCAAATTTACATAACGACTTATATAAAATAAAGACAAAAACCACAGCCAAAAACCACTATAATTTATACAATGCGGTAGATTTTAATTTATAATAAATATTTATTCTTGTTATATAATCGGTATAATTATAAACACATTTAATATTGCGTAGTTCTGATGTGCAAGTCATGGTACAAGCAGTATTGGCCTATCACGGTTCCACCAAAGGACTTTTCTTTCTTTTAGGCAGCAATTATCATCCGCTCGGGGAAGGAAAACATCGCGGGGAAACTGGCATGTTTTAGACCTAAAAATCGACGGAACTGAAGGCTGATTGTCTACTTGTGTATTAAGTAAATATAGTGTTGCCCAAAATCGGTCTTGTCTTGACAGTCTTTGTCGTGTCGTCTTCATTTTGCAAGTACCAAGACCAAACCAAGACCGTCTTATTGTAGCGGAATACCAAGACCAAGACTGAAGCCTGCAAGACTTGAGCAAGACAATACTAAAGCCTGCAAGACTCTTGCGTCTTGCAGTCAAGACAAACTGAGATTTGGGCGTTATTAAGTAGGTATTTGGTTTCAATCCCGATTTTGAGAGACGTTCCCAGTATTAAAACCGTTGGTATACGTCATAACACTAAAATTGCCGCTCGTCTGAAAGAACACTGAAAGGTATTGTATTGATTAGGTAGGGAAGTACTTATTACATTTCAACAATTTATTCAGCTAGTAGTCGTTGTTAATAATCACAAATCTGATTACCATCATCCCATAGTGATAAAATTGGCCAGAAGTAACTTTCTAGCAAAAATCATACCTTTAGGAATCAACTAACCTACTAATGAAAAAATATTATGCTTGTTTATGTCTAATGTGCAGATCTAACGTTAGTACTCGAAAAGGTTGGTATGTGCTTAAAATTATAGCCAACAAAGTTGTATATCAAACATTATGTAGGTACCTAATTATGTTTCAAAGTTTATATTATTCTTCTATTTAGCAAAATTTAAAACTAACTGCGAGTCGAGTAGGTCTATTGAAAAACAGTTTCTACGGCAGCCAATATTATGGTACAGATTCGCTAGCACATAAGCTACTACAATCTGTCAAATTTCTTTAACAGATTTTCAACTGTTATCGCTAAAGAATTAATGTTAAAGGTTTGATTGGGAAAATGTGACGTTACTGACGAATAAACTGTTGGTCGGTCGGTGTATTATATACCTACTTTTTTATAATTTCCGACAAAGTGTATCTAGTCTTAAGTCTCTCTCAGCATTTGACACTGTTTGAGAGCCGCATTCGCCGACAAAGAGTCCGGACAAGAGGCACTACAAAATTGTTACCTATTTTCGGTAGGGTTGTTACAGGAGGATAAAATTAAATGACCTTGAAGATGTCTCAGCAGTAGGTAGGTATAAATTGAATGCTCTGAGTTTCTTGTATTTAAATACATTCTCACACTGGCTCGAATTTGAACACTACAGCGTTTAAAGCTGTCGGGCGAGATGATAATTAATAACTAAGTAGGTATTGCATCTATTGAATTGCGAACCTATTTTGTTTTCAAAATAATCATTGTTAATATCGGTAAATGATAGATAGTGAGTGATATACCTAGGTACTAAAATGTGAGCAGCAAGATTGAAAAGTGTTTATGCCATGTCAGTGCATTCCATAAGTTTATTTTAAAAAAACTCTCAAAGTAAGATTTAGAGTTTAGCCATTCAATCACATACTAACATGTCACAAGAAGGTAGATATTATGAAAAAAATTGGTAAGGAATAAAATCATATACGTTTTATATTATTTAATTACTTTATCCTTTTAAAGAAATTGCACTGCAAAATTGGAAGAGGGTGATTTTAACAACCACTTGAATGCGTGGAAAAGCTCCAAATATGAGCTTGACATGTCATATTGCGTTACGCATTTTGTTTTAAAATCACACTTGATTAAAATCGAGATTTCGCAGTGTCGATTTATCAACTTCTATCGTACCTACTCTACGTAGCGACTATTGTCTTCAGCGATGATTTAGTAAATAAATAAAAATAATCGTCGATCTTTTCCAAGCAACTACAAGTTTTGTTGAACTAGGTACCTAACATCGTTCTCTGCAGTTTCACATACTATAACGACTCACCAGCAAATCGCGCTTGTTTCATCGAAATAACAGACATGCCTAAAAATGTACCTACGCAGTACGCACACTGTAACGAAATCTGCTAATGTCAATTTACAAGAACTTCGTTGTTGGTTTGTTGGATAGGTTGCATAGGATATCGATCAAAAAATTTTGTTTTTCAATTTGTAGGCTAGTGCTAGATTGATAATGAAAATATTATTCGCGCTGTAAGACGTATGTACTTACAGGAATATATTTCAAATTCTAAACAACGTATTCTAATAAATATCAATAGGTTACTAGGTCTTTCAAGTCTTGCGAGGCATGCGAGACCCTTCACTGCAAGACAATGACCAAGTACCAAGACTGAGAGCGCAAGTTACCAAGACCAAGGTAATCAGAGACTGACAGGTGTATTGTCGTTAGACCTATACCAAGACTGGCCTAAGTCTAGTCTTGGTCAAGTTGCATTGTGTAGGCAACACAAACGTAATAGTTTATTCATTTCGATTTAAACAGAAAGTCCGGTGATGTACACAGACTTAGTGGTTGTAGTGTCACTATTTTGTTAGTATACCTCGAAATATATTTTTATTAAAGCAGCGAAACTCTGAATGGAGAGCGTAAAAAAAGTGATTGACCCATAATGCTAGACCAAGATGATGACCTAGGCCACTTTGGTCTTGGTCTTACGAAATAATGCAAGAACAATACTTAGACTGCAAGACCAAGACGATTTTGGAAGCAACACTACGTAAAACTTAAAACGTAGGTACATAATTTTCCTGCAACTTTAATTTGTCCGATGAGGGAGTTAAGGGGTCTGCCAATTTCACAGGCGCTGATTAAAAATTTTGGCTAAGTTACCGACTTATTTTTGACATTGTGACCGGTGACCGCTAGTGCTTTCCTCGCTCAACGATTAAGTATCGCAATACAGCGAGGAAATGCTGCCAGCATTGAAGGTACAATGGGACACCCACAGGGACCAATATTTTTATATTTGTTTTACTTTTCTATTTATCAACTTTTTATTATTATTATTACTATGTAGGTTAAGTATATTGTAAATACTGTATATTTGTGTGTAAATTTTAAATAAAGAAGTTCATTTTAATAGTTGCTTTAAGTTAAACCCTTAATAAATTTAATTATTTAAGAGGTTTATATTTTTTAATAATTAATATTATAGAGTGCTAGCCTGCTATATATATTCTTAACCTTGTTAAGTTAAAAAGTTATACAACATAGGTTAATAACCTTTTGTGCCGGAAAACTTTCGAATTATTATGAAACTATCGCATATTGAATAAATATGTTCTATATATAAATGAAAAAAGTCTCCCTTTAGTGGTTAATGTTTCAATGATGGAACTGAAACTGAAATAAATGAATAAAAAATGTTCATAAAGTTATTTTCTTGAATCTATGTTGATTAATGTGGCAGCAGTAATTTTTTAAGTTATAAACACATATATCAAAACTTGTATGAATAATCGTAGTTTTGAGATTAAATTGTCGTACGGTTTAACCTACTACTTTGTCGACTCTTAGGCACAATTCCCGTACGAAAACTATTGGATTTGATATGAAGAAGTCATAAGCCTCGACTCTTATCCCGTGGGTATTGCTATCTGAGCAGCTAATCTGGAGTAAGTTGTGTCCTTTAAAAAGTAACAAGTAACTTTCGCTCGAACGGTGAAGGAAAACATCGTGAGGAAACCGGCTTGCCTTAGACCCAAAAGTCGATGGTCGTGTATCAGGCACAGAGGGCTGATCACCTACTATCCAATTAGATTGACAAATGATCATGAAACAGTGAAATTTATTTATTAAACTTTACAGTGAACTAACACACTACACCGCGTAGATAGAAATCCAATGAAAGTACATGTCTTTCCGGTCGGGTAAATAACACGATTTGCTAACTGCACTTGTACAATACATGACCCTAATAACAACCCTAAAAACAAGTCTACCTTGATCGACGGCCTACTTTCAAACACTTCCGGATCCTCATTACACATTCAAGTTACGATATTTCATTACAATTTGCTTATTTAAATTATTCTACACGATTTAATTACTATAATAGCTGTACCTATTTATTAGAATTGCATGCTGTATTCTGTAAATGTCAGTTAGTGAGAATTGATTTAATAAAACACTATTTTGACCGGATTGAAGTTATGTATTATTATAAATTTACCGTGACCACGCACGCTGTAAAGCACGCGAAACGTCGGATAAATTTAAAATTATGTTAAATAGTTGTAAATTTATAATAATACATAACTTCAATCCGGTCAAAATAGTGTTTTATTAAATGAATAAAAGTTATGTTAATCAAAGACAATACTATGAGAATTGATTTGCTCACTGTACCCAGAGCATTGGTTTATTTTGCGTCTTCAGTAGAGCTAGGCGAAGGAAGAAACTGAAATATCATTGGAGTAGATAACACTTATACTAAACTCTACCTCAGTTAGTTTTCGGCTTAGTAACTACGCATTTAGATTAAACTTTAACTTATATTTAATAATTTACGCATCTCAGTAGATCAATTCAAATGTTTTACAGCACTCGTGGGCAGCGACAGACATCAAATAGATTTAATAACCCATTTCATCCCCTTAAGGAAGATTTATATAGCTTTAATTTTTGTATATATCTAATATATAAAATTCTCGTGTCACAATGTTCGTTCCCATACTCCTCTGAAACGGCTCGACCGATTCTTATGAAATTATTCTGTAAGTCTGAGAATCGGCTACTATATATCTTTCAAAACCCTAAATGTTAAGGGTGGTCAACATGGGATACATACAACCCTTAATTTTCACCCCTCTATGATCAACTTCTATTTTTTTATTATAGTAGATAGTTATTGTTATTAAACAAAACACGTTTCCTTGAAATAATATACATGGCAAAACAACGTTTGCCGGGTCAGCTAGTATATATATATGGCATCTACCTACTATCCTATACTATACATAATGTACCCAACATTTGTCTTAGAGATAATAAATTACAAACAACACGGAACTTACAGTTGGTTTTTGTACTTAAAGTCTTGGGGTGAGCAACCTATTATTTTACCTACGGGATATGTACGAGGCGAAGGCCGAGGTAGTTTTCGATATCAAGGGCCAGAATCAGTGTCTTGCACAGATTCCCGATATCAAAGACTTTGCGCCTACTGAATGCTGTCTCCGACACTATCCACATCTTTATATGTTCGCTGTTCACAGTCGCGATATTGTATTTATGTATTTAATATTATACATTTTATTTTAATTGGGACAGTATTGGTTTAGTGCTGTAACGAAAGTGTATGTTATTTTGTGAACAAATAAATATATAAGCGATATGATGGTACGAAAATGAACATTGAAACAAGTTGAAACCGCACAAAAGCAAACATTCTTCACCGCCGAGACACGATGTAAATAATAAAACAAAAGAGTACGAAGACTAAGAGAACTGGTCCCTTGTCCTTGAACAAACAGATTAATAAAAACTTAAATATCATAGTTTATTTACAAACATTTACACTTGTTTCTAACAAGTCTTATCTCCCAAGGACAATCCAATCTCTTACTTTTACTCGCAAAATAAAAAATACTGAAAGGTTTCGTTAAATTTGTTCCTTCATTCTTGTCTAGAGATGCACAATATTCGTCCTTCACGCATCGTATCGGAGAGTTTTCTCCGCGTAGTGCGCGAAAATGACGTAGTCTTAAACCTCACCATGTATTACCAAGGGGGAGCGTGGGGGGTTAAAAAATGCTTAAAAAACATCAATTGACTCATGGAACTTACAGAAATCTGATTTTCAGACCTAAAAGGATGTCAGTATTGGTTCTTAACAAGTTACGAAGAAACACTTTTAAACTTGGTGCCTTAGTTTAATTGTCTGTCGCTGTAAACACCCTTTTGTTCATCGTGAGGATACAGTATCAATAATTTCCGGTTTGCACCATAAACTATGATATTTAGCCAACCAACATCTGCTGTGTCGCATAGACGATACCATTTACAATAAGATGTAAAATTGACACCATGTAAAAGAAATATTGCATTTATATATTCACCAGATATACATAAATAATATTAGTAATATATTAATCTGGCTCATGAAAGAAGATAATTGAATTATTTGAAAACTTTCGGATGGCAACACAGAATGTCTTTGAATTTCTTAGGTTAGTATGATTTATTGTCTTGATTCTTCATGCAATTACTCATTTTTATTTCTATTATATATTTTTTCCGAATAGTTAACAGGTATAATAGCCTAAACTTAGTTTTATTTGATAGAATATTTCGTTTCTTTCGCAGGATTTGATTATACCGAATAAAGTTGTGTTTTATATAAATATAGTTTTAGTTTTCCATGCAATGCTAATCATTATAAGTATCAATAGTAAAAGACTAAATACGTATAGTATTTAATTTCATAGAAACTACAGTTACTATCAATGTAAAAAATAATAAAATAAAATCAAGTAAGTTTCATCCACAAAATATATCAAACTTTTAGGGATACCATACTATGTTTTATTTTTTTGCCGCGCTTTTTCGTTATCTTCTTTCATTAGCCAGACTCTATCGACCTTCCACTACCACAGACAACTCCTTTTAAAATTGTTCTGAAGATGTAAAGCTAATATTTTACTAATTAATGAAGTCTGTATTAATTTTATAAGTATTCGAAACTTGTAAATTGATATTTAAATGACGCCTTTTATCAAGTGTTATTTTACAAGATCTCGTGTGCTTCTGTTTATTTTACTCATATTTTACTATTAAAGGTCACGAGTATTTTAAAACGTGTATAAGTGTTGTTAAGATGTTTACTGCTTTAGTGTTCCCTCTAAGAATCCAATTACTTCGTAAATTCTCATTAAAATAATACTTAGTAGGTATACAATATAAACCCACCTCACGCAAAGTAATTATTATAGTTTTTGTACTGTCAATTGTATTGTGTATTTGTAGTGATCTTTTTTAAATAAATATCATAAATACATAACG